GCCTTCTGATATGGTGTAGTGGCTGGATCCTACGATCCTGAAGGACTCATAGAAATTAAGTCTTTATTACAGAATAAAAAAATGATCAAAGAATCTTCAGAAAACAATAAAGCCTTTAGTTTGTCAGTTCAAGATGGCATAATTCAGCTGAAAAAAATATATTACAAAATATAAGGTCAGATAAATATTATGAATAACAAATGGTGTAATTTAAAAATTGAAAGAAGAAATCCACATGATATGTTTATTCAATGCATAAACTGTGATACATAATAATGGAGAAAAGTGATGATTTCCAAATTAAAGGCTTTCTATTTCATACACATGTTACCAGAATTAGCAGTATCAAGACATGGTACTCTATCTGGAATAATAAAACCTGAATTACCATAGGTATGTTTCCAATAAATGAGAAAACTCACGTGAAATAACCTTAGAAGAATTTATTCTGGAGTAAGATGTGCAATTGTATTGCGAAGTTCAATAACCAATAAAATGGAAGCAATTAAAAAACTTAAACAGGATACACGAAATGCCGGGAGACATGTTCTTGGCTTACATGATTTATATACAACGGATTTTATAAAACATAAAGAAAACGAAACAAACGTAACATAATCAAATGTTAACAAAATGAAAAATACCAATAATGATGAAGAAGACATTATAATCAGGCGATGTGAGTACTGGATTGATTCTGTAAAAAAATATTCTGAAACTGAAATTGAAATATTAAGAATTGGTGGTAACACAATATCACAGAAAAGTTGTAATATTGAAGAGATGTTACGAGACATTTTTCTATTTTTGATCCGTCTGTCTGAAAAGGCCTACAGACTGATTGGTAACTTTAATAGTAAATAATAATAAAACCTGAATTACCATAGGTATGTTTCCAATAAATGTACTACTGAAGTAATTGTTGGTATTTTTGTCATCATATTCACATGTGCTTGCATATATATCATCCTATGCAATAACTTTTCATGTATAATAATAAATAAATATGTGTTGGAAACAATAGAAAAAACCTAAAACCACAAAGTTATCCAAATTATAACCAAAGCTTGGTTTCCAGCTTTTTATATGATTTACCTGTCTAAGCCGGACTTCAAAGTTTATCTGGCCAATCAAATTTAATCTTACATAGCGGCTAAAAACCTTCAATTTTAACGCCATTTTTAAAATGCAGCAAGGATTGCTTTAAGAGCAAAGATATGATGATGATAAAAATGTTAGTTTTCATGATGTCTTAAAAAATAATATTTACGTTTGAAGGAATCAACAGATGGTATAATTTTAAGTACATTTGTGTAACATCATTAAATGCAAGTCAAGTTAAAATTTGGGCTCAGATCCCTGATTTTTAACCTTAGTTATGCCCCTTTAAATCTCCAGATTTTGATAAAAAAATGTTTCAAGACAATAACTCTTGATGGACTCAACAGATTGTAATAATGGTACACATATGTTACATTATAAAATATAGGTCATGTTCGAACTATTTACAGAGTTATGTTCATTTTAATTTTCAGATTAAAAAAGAAAGGTTTCTAGATGATAACTTCTGAAAGAGTAGATGGATTGTTATAATATTTAATACACTGATGTTATATTATAAAATAATTGTCAAGTTCAGACCCATAAATATTTACATAGTTATGTCTCCTTTTCACCTTCAATTTTCCACAAAATAAGAAATAAGATTTTTTAGTTGATATTTCATAAAGTAGTCTCTCTTTTGAAATTATTTTTGGTAGTTTGTTGAAACATCATAAAATAAAGATCAAAATCTGGAATATGGATTAACGCCAATAAATATTTAACATAGTAATTGCCCATATTCATCTTCAATTTAGGGGAAAATATGTTGCTTCCACTTGATTACTCTTCATATAGTCAATGTATTGAATTTATTTTTAGTACACAGATGTAACATGTTTAAATACAGGTGTTTAATTTTGGTTTCAAACCACTATTTTTTTTTTGTTTTTGCTCTTTTTCATCTTTAATTTTGCAAAGAAATAGTTAGCACATGAGTTTATTAGAAGTCATTTAATTTGAAATAGTTTTAAAACAAATGAAATACAGCTTGAATTATAATTAGAATTGTAATTTAGACCACTAAATATTAACATAGATATTATAATCTGTTAAATATCAAAGAGATTGTTTCCAAATGATAACTTTAAGAAGACAAATGATTATACACTAATGGTACATCATTTAATACAAGTTGAGTTCAAATTTTGGCACAGACCACTAAATGTTTTGATAACTTATTTTTATTTTCATTTACCTACTTCAAACTTGTTTTGATGATTTAAGATGTTTCTTGATACAAATATCTGTACAATGTTGTCTTAGTTTTCTTTTTAAACAAACTCTACAGGAATTCGATGGTCCCTTTTTAAAGTTGTTCAAAAGGTACCGGTCTGTTGCATATGAAGGTCAAGGGGAAACTTTACTTATATTGGAATACAGACATTTAAGCCTTATTTTCTCAAACTAAAATGTCTAAAACTTAAATATTTAGCATGTGGTTTTGCCTTGTGGACCACTACAAAATGTGTATGTATCTTAATCATGCCCCCCTGGGTCAAAATGTTCCAAAGGGGTCATGATTTATATTAACCAGTATGGGAAAAATATTCTTATTTTATAAAACTTCAATGCCTGGAGCTTTGATATTGGATACGGAGCATTGCCTAGTGAGCTTATACAAAACATCCTGACCAATGAGTGAACAATCATCCGACCCAAACCGGGAGGGTGTACCTGATTTATATTGACTTGTAAAGGACTTAAGGTTCAAATTGAATTACCCTAGTTTAAATACAGTACAGGTGAACATTTGGCTTTCAGTTAACATTTGAGTTAACATTAGTATTTGAGATACACGAGGACTGATCAAAACGTTTTTAGCCCGATGTACTTTCGGTAGTCAGAGAACCAAATTATAGGTCTTACTCATTTTTACTTTTAATCGCCCTCTATATCAATGCACTTTGCCCATCTGTGCCCTAACTTTTTTAACCCTTCAAAATAGAACTCTCTATTTTAGTCCTCAAATAACTCATTGACCGCCTCCATGACACCTCTATTGCTTCCAAAATGTACCACGAAGCTTGGTTTTCAGTTTAGGAAACAGATAGATGTCAGAGGGGAATAAGTCTGAAGAAAATGGGGGTTGGGAAGGAATTTCAAAGCCACAGTCAGTTGCAGCAGCCATCACAACTAGGGATGTATGAGCAGGCGCATTGTCGTGCAGGAGCAGAACGCCTTGAGTCAGTTTGCCCCTCGTTTTTCGTGCGATTTCTTGACGCAGACGTCTCGATTCGTCTGCATAGAACGTACCGTTTATGGTACGACCTTGCTCAAGATAGTCAATCATGATCATCCACTGACTATCCCCAAAAATTGAAGCTTTCATTTTCTATGCTGAGGGCACCCTTTTGAAATTCTTCGGAGTGGGTGAGCCAGGGTGCTTCCACTTTGAATTCTGGATCAAAGTGATGGACCCATGTTTCAACCTTAGTTACGATCCGGTAGACAAAATCAAGTTCATCCTTGTAGCAAGACAAAGGATATCTTGAAATGTCAAGCAACTGTCTGGTGACCCATCTAGCGGACACCTTTGGCATGCGATAGACATCAGCAGGATTGCATGAACTGAACCAAAGTTTATTCGCACCTCCCTTGCAATGCTTCGCTGGTCTCACCTTCTGTCGCACATGACCAGATCGTGCACAGCTTCGTCAGTTTCATCGTTGGTGGCCTCTTTTTTCCGCCCAGGTCGCTCATCACTTCCAATGCTCTCCCTGCCCCACTTGCATTCAGCAGCCCATTTTTCACAGTGCTATACGAAAGGAGTCTCCTTCCCAAGTGTATCCATGAAGTCTTCATGGATTTCCTTGTGAGACATCCCTTTCTTACAGGGGTACTTAACGACGGCTCTGATTTTAACTTTCTCCAATTGGTCTAAATGACACGCCCCTCTACTTATCAAAGTGTGTTTTAGGACCTTTCTGTTGAAAATGTGTTAGAGTTAAATCGTATACATATACATGCACAGTGCGTTAACTGGAGTACATGTATATGTTACCCGCACTACAGATCATGCCCGTTGATTGCCTCATTTTTGCTGGGGTTTACTTATTGTGACGGCAGAGAAAGGGAAAGCGACAGAAATATCATATTCAGTTGCTCGTTCATTGGTCACCTTTTTCTGGATTTCATATTCCGGCAACAGGGAACGTGTTCTTATGTTTGACTATGATACAAAAGAGAAAGAACACAAAAACACTCGGCAATCTGATTTATACTAGGGGGCTACGCCCCCTCGAACAAATCAGATAGCCTCGTGTTTCGGTGCTCTTTCTATTTCTTAATCTGTGTAAAAGCGCGTGTAACTCGGTCAATAATTTTCAGTAAGATATCGGTATCGACGTATTGTGTGTAAATGTCAATGTAGAGACTAGAAGTATATAGGGCCGAGAACTTTTTTATCATACCACGTTTTTAATTTCGAGTGAACATTTCGATCAATAATTTCGATGTAGACTGTTATATCAAATAAAATTTTGCATTAACAATCACAAAGTAGTGTCTGTTATGTTCTCACTTATCATCAACATTTTGACTATTATAATTGAAGAGTATATTTAATGTTATCTTGGTATAGGTAGCACAATTGTTTTCTTTGTTTGTTTCATTTTAACGCCGTTTCCCAACAGTATTTCAGTCATATAGGCGGGTAGTTTCCTATCCATCGTTCCTGGAGAGTTACACCAGTACTGGACTACCTTCCTCCGCGCTAAACTACCACAGCATCTCCCGGGGATAGAACCCACGTCAGAGAGGTAACTGGATTAGAAGTCATCGACTCTAACCCCTCAACCACGAAGGTAGCACACATGTATGTAAACAAATATTCTACTAATTAATTAATGAAATCTTACTTCAGTCCGTAGTCTTTGGCCTTTTTATTGACACTAAATATTTGTATTTGTTAAATATGTTTACGTGTTATCAAAATACATTTATGTAGTTTCAAAAGTTAGTAAAATGTTATAAATATTTGACAAGTTTGTTGACATACTTCTGTATTATGTTTGTTGAATTGTCATAATTTTGTATATATGTGTGATATTTATGTATGCTTGTTCTGCTCTTCATTAAATGGAGGAATAAAATATATATATAGTTAACCTTACACTTCGAGTTAACATTTAACTTTAAGTGAACATTTGACTTCGAATTAACATTTGTCTATGAGTAAGCATTTTACTCCGAGTAAACAATTTGCCTTTGAATGAACATTACACTTCGAGTGAACATTTGATTTCGAGTGAAAATTTCGATCCCAGTAAACATTTGTCTGTGAGTAAACTGTTGACATATCAATGCACTTCGAGTGAACACTTAATTTGGACTGAATATTTGTTTTCGGGTGAACTTCAAGTAAATTTTTGACTTTGAATGGACATTAGTTTTTTAGCGAACAATTGACTTTGGGCATTTGAATTTGAGTGAACACTTGACTTCAAATTGATATATGACAGTGAACACTTGGCATTGTTCATGATTAAATGTACACATTTATAGACAAATTTGTATTGATGTAACGAAACATTAACAACACCATGAGTGTTGAGATACGTTTAAAACTGAAATAAGATTTGACCATAATTTGATCTCAGTCAAATGACGTCTACACGTAAAAGGCTTATTAACAAATGTTAAACTCTAACTTGGAAATAAGTTTCAACACTAACATATTTGGATTAGAAGAAAAATCAATTATTGATTCACAAATATTGTTTTCAAATTGGCATATCCAGTTTTACATTTCCTAGCCTTTCCCAGCGCTTCTGGACTCTGTGGATTAGTTTTTCTCCATATTTAATTAACACGGTCTTGTCAACTATTCTTCTCGAAGTATCTTTATAATTCTGCCAGTTTCTGTAATGGTGAAGTAGACCTAATTCTACAGGTACTATGTATGAACGACTTCCCGATACCTCGTGAATCATCAAACTTTTGTCTTCTTTGATCGTCCTTGTAAAATACTTTGACCTTGACCAAGCAGGAAAAATGACATCTTCACGTTCAAAATATTGTAACGATATGATATTAAACTTTTGAGAAATATGCTTATTTTGAAACTCAGTAATATAACTGTTCCATTCTTTTCTGAAAAAAGTATTGCGGAAAATATAAGTATCATATTCCGACGGAATCTGTGTAAAGAGTTCAGACCATGTATAAGTATTATCAGAGCGTGGTATTATAAACTCATCTACATCACAATTGATAAGGAACTCTGAATGCGCTCTGTTTCGATACAGACAGTCCTGAAGCATTGGTATCGTTCCCATAGAATGAATTTCTACAGGAGCTGATGTTTTCGGCCATGTGTAACTCTTAATCGGTAAATCCCATTGTACAACTTCTACGATGTCTTCTTCAACATAATTGCTGAGCACTTGATCAATGTTCATTGCGATAGAGTAATTGTATACAACAATCTTTTCTGCTCCAAGCATCTTGTTAAATTCTATCCACTCAACGAGTTCGTAAGCTCTACCATACCGGAAATGCAGCGGTCTCAAACAGACCGTGAACTTCCGTTGATACTTTTGTGGTACTATTCCATTTTTCACTTTCAGTAGATGAAGTGGCACCTTACATTGACTTGTAACCAATGAAATGTAATGAGTATTGGTAGGTATACCAGGGCAAATAAATATAGCACCTGAGTATCTGAAATAAATATAAAAATCAGTGTATGACATGTATGATATTGGAAATGTCAAAGTATTGTCTCTGAAGTTTTAATTTTTATTGGATAAGTGAGTGACTGTATCAATATGTAAGTGAATGAATAAATAAATGAATAAGTGAATAAATAAATAAATGACTGAATGAATGAATGAATGAATGAATGAATAAATGAACGAACGAAAAAACGAACGAATGAATGAATAAACGAACGAATGAATGAATGAAGCTTACTTTTCCCCATGGCTCTCAGGAAGGACGTGTATATTTGCAGGTTTTTCATGCATTATAATTGTATCATTCGCCGGCATTACAAACCAGTACTGGCAAAATATTTTCGCTATCCTAAAAGTGCTTGCACCAACCACTTTGATTGTACCACTTTGATCAACAATGTATGCAGAAAACACAAACGCATTCTTCTTTTCATCCACTGCTCTCCATGATTCTTCATTCAGTAACTCGACCGGGTACATGATATTTACGCAATCACCATTTGTCACGTGCATTTCTTTCATTAGTTGTTTTGTTTGTAATGTGTGAATTTGATTGACCTGTTTCGTTATTTCCGATGACTGTGTCTGTGGGAGAAAGATGTCCGGACTCTTTGAATATAAACTGCGTTTTGGAAGCGAATCTTTAGAGCTTGATAACATATGATAACATATTAACAGAGTCTGTACTCCTAGAAATACTATCACTGTTCTACGGTATTTGATCCTCATCGTGTTTAAAAATTTAATCGATTCTATGTACTTTTTTTAAATCAATCTAAAAATGTAGACATATATACAAAAAGCACTGGTATTTTTTATTTAATATCCTGAAGTTTGCTTAAAACATGCTTGCAAAAAGGAATTAGTTTATACAAAAAATTCCGTCATTATAAAATGTCTACATATGAATTCTTCTAAATATTACAGTCCTAATCATGGACTAATAAACACAATTTTACGTATTAACCTAATGACAACTTCGAATGACAATAAGCTTAAATCCAGCAAAATCGATTTTTATCATTTTATTATATTTATTTCTAATTAAAGCACAATATGTTACACACGCTATTACACACGCTGTTAGGAACATCTTGCTAGTAAACTGAAATGGAAAATATATAGATAACACAAAATTGATAGATTAGGTAAAATAAAAAAAAACATTTATTATTGTGATATGTACGACTATGAATATTTGAATAACAGTAAGAAATATGGCGGACACAAAATATTTTCACTACTCCTTAACGAGCATCATCGGATACCCATTGTTGATTAACATGTTACATGAGGGAGAAGTTTAAGTATAACAATAAAAACCCTACAGGTTTGCTCTCTTTAATTTCTTATAAGATGAAAAATATCTTTAAAAGAATAAATAATGTTGTTAATAAGACATCTCTGTCACCAATGTAAAGAGTTATTCTTTTAAATCTCTAGTGTGTGTTTTTTTATTATGTAAAGAATATGAAAAATGAATGACCACCTGACTTCCAGAAAACCCATCTTAATTTCAAATCCAATGGTCCGACTGACCACCTGCTATACAAGTTAATGTCGAGATCGAGACATGTATTGGATCATGATACATATATATCATCATTTACTATTGTAGTTATTCATATCAATGTTGACAGTATTATGTATCCATAAAACAATGACTAAGCTCGAAAATAATAAAATAGCCAGTTTAAAATTGGGTCATGAGAAATGTTTTCCTTTGAAAGAAAATGTGATATTTTGAAGCAAATCTATATGCGAATAATGTAAGTTTAAGGTGTAAAAATCTATACAAACATGTTTAAGAGATGAATAAAAAGAATGAAAATAAAAATATATCTTTAAAAATATATTTTTTAAACTTCGGATATCAATAAAATTAACAAAGAATATGCTTATTACTTTATTGCACAATAATGAAAGTGGTTTTATTGAAAAAAAAATTAAAACGTATCACACGGAGCAAAGGTTGCAATATTTGTATCATATAAAGCATGGTGATATGTACAAAAATGTATTTACATTTCTATCTTAAATAAAACAATACATAGTGATATCTTGCATTGCTTACTTGATCAGGCTAATTACTTTACAATGAATTATAAATTTATAACGTTTGCATCTTTGAATGATGGTAATAAATTGATCAAGTCGGTCGATGCAATTGCAAATTAAAACAAATACTTTCCTTATAACTATCGACACTATCCAGCAAACTTAAGGAATAATGGTAGTTCTACTTAGGTGCCCCGCCATCTCCGGCCTGGGATATTACAAAAAGGCACATGAGGTATTCCCTTACCAGTAAAGCTTGCGAGTCGCCGTATGACTTGCAGTGTGAGTGTGACTTAAAATCCACCAAAAAAATAAATAACAAATGATATAACTTTTATTATTGTAATCTATGTAATTATTTTGTTGTTGCTGTTGTTGTTGTTGTTCTGGTTGATGATGACGACGACGATGATGATGATGATCAGAAGGACAGTGCTTATTACTATCGTTATGAAAATGACAATGATGCAAGTCATAATGATGATGATGTTCACCTGGATGAAATTAAGTTGTTGATTAATTAAGGTGATGATGAAGAGTAGAAGAACGCTGATTTCGATAATGATGACGGTGATGTACATATTGGTTATAAATATCATGGTTGTCCAGGGACATAGTTTTGACTATAATTATGTTCAAGACAAATTCTACAAAGGTTTGTCAAGTTATTTGTTGTTGTAGGTTTTTTTATTCCTCCGACGGGAGCTTTCACATGGACGTGTCGGCATATACATGTACTAAGAAACAAGTAATTTGACTATAAATTGCAGGTACATAAATAAGGTTTTGTTGTTGTAGGTTTTTTTTATTTCTTAATTGAAATTAACGATTAATATGACATAACAAAATGTAGAGAGTAAAATATATAGTCCAATTTGAGGATGTGAATGATAAAAGTGTCATTGCAAGTGTATCAGGATCTATTTCATTTTTCTTATTAAAACTTTGTCATATTTGTCACATAATCTTTGTCACATGAATCATGAAATGCAAACATTGATAGCAATATAAGATACCCAAAATTTACGACTTCATAAACTTAACGCAAAAAAAACACACTGGCAGAAACATTAGTTATCAGAAGAACTGTAGGACATCTTCAGAGTTATTAGAAAAACTCTAGGACTTTTGAAAAATCGGGCATAGATTTGTTAACTGGGTCTCTATGCTTGTTACTTTCCATTATAATTAGATAATTAAGTATTGCAAGGAAGATAACAAATTAACAGGTCAATATGAACGAATGAGCAACTCCATCCTCCGAATAACAATTCATTTACCGCGTCATTGGAAATTCGGGGATATTTCGGCATGTACGTGAACAAACTAGAGATAATCGTTAATGATAGGGAATCGGGAAGGTGAACACAGTTGTCTACCTTGATTACATAAATGAAATGCATGGAATTGTTTAAATCATTTACATTAAATTAGATTTTTGTATACTCATTATCGATTCCCTTATTTCCTTTTCAAAAGAAAACATTTTAAATAATTTTATTTTTAGATTCGATGTGTCAAGTTTTTCAGGGTAGGCGGCATGTTTGAGTGGTAAAGTCGTCCCGTCGGTCTTGTACTTTGAGGATTGTTGGTACCCCGTTAGGGTCAAGTCGTTGTTTCCGTGAGCAAGAAACTTTACACTAATTGCTTAGTACTGGTTGGTTCCAGAGACAGATTCGAGGCTGTTTCAATAAGCTTATACCTTCCAACACAATTGAATTAAAATAATTCGACTAAACAAATGGTTGCAAAAAGTACGTTTCATTTTACAAAATGTGTCTTTGGCTAATATAACGCAAAAAGAAAAATATAATAACACCAATTGATACCACACTAATGTGGTTTATTTACACAAAACTACCAGCGGCTAATAAGAATAATATCGAACATTGTGATGATCTAATGTTCTTTTTTATGGATCTTTTAAAAGTTAAACATTTCAGCTACTTATTAATTAATTGTACCAGTATGTACACGTATTTACAATATTCTAGTCAACCAAGAAACCAATCAGCGATTGCTTTCAAGATTTAATGTACCTGTTGAATTTTCTGGTTGGGTGAGTAAGATAGGATTTGAATAATTCAACAGCCAAGTTTATGTTTTTGATTTCATGTATGTTTCCGGAACGGAAGAGAAACAAGGTTTCATACACTTTTCACTGAAACATTCTGAATATCCAATTACAAGATATTATGCACAAGATTCGCATATTTCGTTCTTTGCTGAATTAATTAATCAAATACCGAGACGTCCAGATTAAATCATCCTAGTTTCAATACAGTACAGGTGAACATTTGGCTTTGGCTTAACAATTGACTTAACTGACTTGAAGTGAAAATTTGCCTTTGAGTTAACATAACACTTCGTCTTAACATTTGATTTCGAGTTAACATTTAACTTTGAGTGAACATTTGACTCCGAGTGAACATTTGTCTATGAGCAAATATTTGACTTTAACATTTCACATCAAGTGAAGTCTTGACTTGGAGTGAACAATTGATTTCGAGTGAACATTTGTCTTCAAGTGAACTTTTTACTTCGAGTGAACATTTGTTTTCGAACGAACATCTGCCTTCGACCATTTGACTTTGCGTGAACACTTGACTTGAAGTGAAGGAACACATGGCATTGAATATTATCAAAGTAAGCATTTGAATACAACAAATTCTGAAACGTTGCAGAGATGTAACATCAACATGATATAAAACCATGAATGTTAAGATAAGTTTATAACTGGAATACGACTTGACCGAAATTCGATTTTATTCAAATGACATGTATATAATTGTATAATGCTCATTAACAATTCTTAATCAATAACTGGAAAAAACTTTCAACACTGTCATATTCGGACTGCTTCACCAAAATTGTTTTTAAACTGGCATATCCAGTTTTACATTTCCTAGCTTTTCCCAGCGCTTCTGGACTCTGTGGATTAGTTTTTCTCCATATTTAATTAACACGGTCTTGTCAACTATTCTTCTCGATGTATCTTTATAATTTTGCCAGTTTCTGTAATGGTGAAGTAGACCTAATTCTACAGGTACTATGTACGAACGACTTCCCGATACCTCGTGAATCATCAAACTGTTGTCTTCTTTGATTGTCCTTGTAAAATACTTTGACCTTGACCTAGCAGGAAATATGACATCTTCATGTTCAAAATATTGTAACGATATGATATTAAACTTTTGAGCAATGATTTTATTTCGAAACTGATTTATATAACTGTTCCATTCTTTTCTGAAAAATGTATTGCGGAAAATATAAGTATCATATTCCGACGGGAGCTGTGTAAAGAGTTCAGACCATGTAGAAGCATTATCAGAGTGTGGTATTATAAACTCATCTACATCAACATTGATTACGAACTCTGAATGCGCTCTGTTTCGATACAGACAGTCCTGAAGCATTGGTATCATTCCGATAGAATGAATGTCCACAGGATCTGACGTTTTCGGCCATGTGTAACTCTTAATCGGTAAATCCCATTGTACAACTTCTACGATGTCTTCTTCAACATAATTGTTGAGCACTTGATCAGTGTTCATTGCGATAGAGTAATTGTATACAACGATCTTTTCTGCTCCAAGCATCTTGTTAAATTCTATCCACTCAACGAGTTCGTAAGCTCTACCATACCGGAAATGCAACGGTTTCAAACAGACCGTGAACTTCCGTTGATATTTTTGTGGTGCTCTTCCATTCTTCACCTTAAGTAGATGAAGAGGCACCTTACATTGACTTGTTACCAATGAAATATAATGAGTATTGGAAGGTACACCAGGGCAAATAAATACAGAACCTGAGTATCTGAAATAAATATTAAAAACAGTACATGATAAAAGAAATGTTAAAGTATTGTCTCTGTAGTTATAATTTTAATAAAATTGAGCGAGTGAGTGAGTAAATGAGTGAGTAAATGTAACAATGAATGAATGAATAAATGAATGAATGAATGAATGAATGAATGAATGAATGAATGAACGAACGAACGAACGAACGAACGAACGAATGAATGAATGAATGAATGGATTGATGAATGAATGAATGAATGAATGAATGAATGAATGAATGAATGAATGAATGAATGAATGAATGAATAAAGCTTACTTTTTCCCATGGCTCTCAGGAAGGACGTGTATATTTGCAGGTTTTTCATGCATTATAATTGTATCATTCGCCGGCATTAAATGCCAGTATTGGCAAAATATTTTCGCTATACTACGAGTGCTTGCACCGACCACTTTAATTTTACCACTTTGTTCAACAATATATGCAGAAAACACAAACGCATTCTTCTTTTCGTCTACTCTTCTCCATGATTCTTCTTTCAGTAACTCGGCCGGGTACATGATATTAATGCAATCACCATTTGTCACGTGCATTTCTTTCATTAATTGTAATGTGTTTGTTTGATTAACATTTTTCGTCATTTTGGAAGACTGTGACTGTGGGAGAAATATATCCAGACTCTTTGAATTTAAATTCATGCGTTTGACAAGCGAATCTTCAGAGCTTAATAACATATGATAGCATATCAACATAGTCTGTACTCCTAGAATTACTATCACTGTTTGACGGTATTTGATCCTCATCTTGTTTCAAAATTTAATCGATTCTATCTTCTTTTTCTATTTGATATCTTTTTCATTAAATGTCTGTTAAGTTTGCTTAAACTTGCTGGCAAAATAGGGATTAGTTTATACAAAATCATCATAATAAATTTGTCTACGAAGATATTCTCTTAAATATTCTAGTCCTAATCAGAACATGTGAACACCATTTACGTTTTTAACTCCAAGACAACCTATGTGAATGGCAATAAACTTAAATCCAGCAAAATTGATTTCATCATTTGTTTTATAACAGGTTATTTCTGAATTTAAACAATAATGTTCATGCAAAATATGTTTCACACCCTCGTTGGTACATCTAGCTTGTAAGCTGAAATATGTACACACAACAAAAGTTGAATGATTAGGTAAACAATGGAAGATAAGTATTGATATTTTTTCATTAAACTACGTAATACTGTAGACATTAAAATTAATTTTCGCAATATCATGTAGACACGGAACAGTTATCTAACATCAATTTTACATGACTTTAAAAATAATTAAATTGTCGGCCATGAGAATTAAATGTTTACCTTTGAATCAGAATGTTTTAGTATTTCGAAGCAAATCTTCGGCGAATTATATAAGTTGTATGTAAAAAAAAATCTATCCAAACATTTATTAGAAATTAATAAAAAAAATGACAATAAAAGGATATTTTAATATTGAGTTAATATATAAACGAAAGATGAATAAACGCAATTTGGACATCAATAAAATTGAATTCGAATGTGCCTATTAATTTATTGCAAAATAATGAAACAGGTTTTGTATAAAATAATGACATATCGCAAGGAACAAATGTTTGAATATACAAAAATGTATTTACAATTCCATCTAAAGTAATACAATACATAATGACATCTTACAATGCTTACCTTATCAGGTTTATCACTTTACAATGGAATAAAAATCTATAACGTTTGCATCTTTGAATGATGGTAATAAATCGATCGAGTTAATCGATGAAATTGCAAATTAAAACAGATCCTTTCCAGTAAAGTATCGACGTATAGAACGAATCATAACTGGAGAGAACCGCTGCCTCGCCTAATCAATAGAAGGCAGATTAATTCTCTTGTGGACAAGCATTGTTGGACCGTATATGTCACGGATCGAATATATTACATCAGTGAGAAAAATCATCCGAATAAAATGCAAGTGTGATGATATGATGATGGTCGCCATGTTGCAGCTCCTAGTAGGGATGATGATGATGATTGATGGTGATGATGATGATGATGATGATGATGGTGATGATATAGATGATATTGATGATATAGATGATGATAAACAAATATACGATGCTTTCGTTGGTGATGATAATAATTATTATTATTGTTATTATCATTAATTATTATTATTATTATTTTTATTATTATTATTATTATTATTATCATTTATTATTATTATTATTATTATTATTATTATTATTATTATTATTATTATTATTATTATTATTATTATTATTATTATTATTATAAGCTGTAATGGACTCTGTGGCTAAGTGTCTTAAGTCGCAGACTACAAATCATTTACCCCATATCGCTTTGAAAGGTTTTGTATTCATTTATACGAGGAAGCTACCCAGTTAGCTTAATTAAGGAATGTCGGTGATTTCTTCGCAGTATTGGTGTGACATAAAATCAAACAAACAAACAAATGAAAGCGATAACGATTATGATTGTAATCTTATTTATGATTTGTTGTTGTTTATGTTGTTGATTTCGATAATGATGACATAGATGATGATAGTGATAAAGATCATGGTCGTCTAGGGACGTTGTTTTTGTCTAAATTTAGTTGAATGGTCAAATTCTATTTAGGTTTGCAAAAAAATGCCTATGCTCTTAACGGTCAGTTTGTCGTTTTGGCATTTACGAAGAAACAATAAATATAATCCAGAAGATAATTATATATACTGCAGGTACGAAACAAAGTTTTATTGGCTTTTTATTGTCGTTTTGTTTTTTGTTCTACGAAAGCCTAATAGTGTCAAATAAGATGAAAAAAATAAAAATGCAAAGGCGTTATAACGCGAATAAAGGCGTTATTACGCGAATCAAAAGGCGTAAATACGCAAATCAAAAGGCGTAATAACGCGAAAAAAGGCGTAGTAACGCGAATAAAGGCGTAGTAACGCGAACCAAAAGGCGTAATAACGCAAATCAAAATGCGAAGTAACGCGAATAAAGGCGTAGTAACGCGAAACAAAAGGCGTAATAACGCAAATTCAAAGGTGTAGTAACGCGAATAAAGGCGTAGTAACACGAAACAAAAGGCGTAATAACGCAAATCAAAGGGTGTAGTAACGCGAATAAAGGCGTAGTAACGCGAACCAAAAGGCGAATAAAGGCTTTATAACGCAAATCAAAAGGCGTAATAACGCGAATAAAGGCGTTATAACGCGAATCAAAAGGCGTTATAACGTGAATAAAGGCGTTATAACGCGAATCAAAAGGCGTAATAACGCGAACCAAAAGGCGTAATAATGCAAAACAAAAGGCATTATAACGCTAATTTAATACCATATAAATTCCAAACAGTGGCCTAGCAATGTAAGATAGGAATAACAATGTTGATCTAAATGAATCGATCAAGACGTACGTTTTATTTTCAATTCTATACGGATACGTCCTAAGGCCACAGTCTGATTTTTTTAAATCTTTTATTAGGAAATGCTTTCGTCAGATTAGAGGTTAACTATCATCCAACTATAGATACTTTTCTACATAGACAAAGAAGGCAATGTCTCCTATATAATTGTGACTTAACTGAAACACTACCCCCCATTTAAGCATACCTATCAATAATCACCCTAATGTGACTAACTTATACCTTACCTTTTCCCAAATCTTGTTACCTATAGCGTATTACCTATAACTTAATTAGGAATGGTTTTCACATAATTAGAAAATACTAGAGGTTATAAGGTAATCAAACAGGATATATCCGAAGATAATTGAACATATGACGCACATATAAGATAAGATAAGATAAGATATAATATAAGAAAAGAAAATAAATTAATTTACTATAGACGTGGCATGTGTAAAATCAATGATGTGATACATGTGAATTCAGAGTAACTGTATTTACGTCCAGTCCAATGAACCTACAAGGCACCAAGTCACCTTATATTGGCAAATATTAAAGAGTCTTCATTAGTTTATAACAAATAGTTTGCATTATTACTGCGCAAATGGAATGATAGTTATTGTAAATGTATATAATATTATTCTATACGAGTTTTATATCTTGAGCCATAAATTCAGATAAATATTGGTTTTCCTATCTCACGTTACCAGGCTATTTGATTAGTATAAATATGGTATTAAATTGGCATTATAATGCGTTTTAATTTGCGTTATTACGCCTTTTGGTTCGCGTTACTACGCCTTTTGATTTGCGTTATTACGCCTTTTGTTTCGCATTATAACGCAAATAAAGGCGTTATTACGCCTTTTAATTCGCGTTATAACGCCTTATTCGCGTTATTACGCCTTTTGATTCGCGTTATTACGCCTTTTGTTTCGCATTATAACGCAAATAAAGGCGTTATTACGCCTTTTAATTCGCGTTATAACGCCTTATTCGCGTTATTACGCCTTTTGATTCGAGTTATAACGCCTTTATTCGCGTTACTTCGCCTTTATTTGCGTTGCTACGCCTTTTCGCGTTATTACGCCTTTTGATTTCCGTAATTACGCCTTTTGATTCGCGTTATAACGCCTTTGCATTTTTATTTTATTTTTCATTTGACACTATTAGGCTTTCGTATTGTTCCTTAATTAAATTTAACAATAAAAATGACATAAAAAAAAAGTATACATTTTGTTTAAAATAAAGCATAAATTTGAGGAGGTGAATAATCAGAGAGTTATTGTAAGTATAATTTAATGGGTTATCACACTGGGTGCTTTGACTACGTCTAACGAGATCCTGGACGAGTAAAATACACTCGACTCAAATACAAGTTCCAAAATATGTTTTCCCATCCTAAAAACCTTATTATATTTGTCATATATTGTTTGTCACATGAAATCCAAACATTGATGGCAATATAAAATACCTTAAATTCACGATTTTAACAACTTTCATATAAATGTTTCATCATGTTTTAAGATCGCAGTGTATTTTAATAAGTAAACAGTATAAACGTTTGATAGATCTGAGCTCTTTGATATTCAACAAGAACCTCCTTTTAATATATATGTTATTTTCGTTTCTTTTTTTATAACAGCTTGGCAATATTTACACTTTTTTTCGGTCATCTGTAATATGGCTATTAAAACGTTCTAGACGGTGCTGATAGAGTGGTTTTATTAGGTACTAAACGTTCTTCTGCGCGGTACATTCCAACATTGAACAGAGATGTTACCTAGATATGTGATATAAAGCGTTTATACAACAAAAAGTAGATCGTAAATATGTACTTCACCAAATAGACTTTAATCACTTGGCAAATGCACAAAGTCGAAATGAACTTTAAAATAAGTTATAGTGTTTGCTGCGACTTTCTATATAACACTTTGAATGAATACTATTTAAATTGACTGTTATTTAACCACGTATTGATCTATGGATGTGTCTGTATATTGATTGGATCATGCAAGATCTAAAATTCAGACAGATCAACGCGGGTTGCAGAGATGTGCGGTCTAATAAACAGTGAAAATTGCTTATTCGAAGTGTTAAAGAGATTCTGTTTTCAGAATCATGCACCATAAAAATACTCAATCTGATCAAACGGTGGTCCAATAAACAGAATTCTATACAGATCAATCCGTGGTCCAGTAAACAGATTTATCATTGAGTGATCAGATAAAGATAAACGATTTACAGATCAATGGTGCTATAATTCCCAATTGCTCTTCGCCAATCATTGCCTCTCACGATCAAATTCAATGTATCTCAATTTGGAACCCAGGACTTATTTCATTGGCTGATAAATGTTTTTAAAAAGATGAAATCCGAAATCCGTGCAGTTTGTGTTAAATTAAAAATTTAAATTAAATTACAATCCCGAATACATAGATTTTTAACAAGTAGCATCATCTTAAATCTACAAAAATATATATAACAGAGAGGAACAGTATCCCTAAAGAACGTCCAAAACAGGTAATAGAAATGTTGCTGGCTCCTATTGATTGAATCTGTTAACTGACGGTACTGGAAAGTGCAAGTTACCGTCCACGCCCCGTAGCACCGGCTTAAGCATAAGTCAACATGTAACATGTAATGGTAAAGTTTTAAACATGTTTCTTTAAAACTATATATGCAATGCCTAGAATCTAGATGTTTGACATATAGCACCATCTTGTTGTCCTGTACAGAAGTTATATACAACATGTCCCCGGGGTTCTATTGATGTATAAAGACTAATATAGTAAACATGTCTAAGAATAATGTTTCCTATGATATTCTTATAAATGGAGCATAAATATTACGCATGAAGCACAACTTTGTGGTCATCTACTAAAGTTTTATTCCAATGGTGTCAAAATTGGGTCCGTCCCGAGGGTCACTTAGTTTATGTAGCTTTGTATAGAAAACACATATAAGTTCTCGTATCTGAAACGTAATGCATACAGCTTAGATTTTTGGAATGAAGCGTTTCTTCGTGGTACTTCACAAAAATGACTTAAACCCTTGAGATAAAAAGTCCATCTTTTGGGTCACTTAGTTTGAAAAGATTTACACAGTTAAACACATTCAAGGATCCTTGAAAGAAACTACAATGCCATGAGTTTTGGTATTTGACATGTAGAATTTCGAACATCTATTAAAATAATGCAGCTTCTGTCAAATATGGTCGTCCGTCGTCCGTTGTTTGCCATAATTAAGCTGCACGCCTCCAGATGAGCCAAAATATCTCAAGAAAATGAAAATTGAGAAAAATGTACTAATATTTCAAGAAAGGTAAAACGAATCAAGATCAATGTTAAAGTTTACATGTTATTTGCGATTTAAGACTGATTTTGAAGTATTTTATCGCCATATTTCTACTGCGTTACTTACGCAGTAAGGGCTTTTTTGCACATTTTGACCTCTTTTTGGTTATTTGCATGGATTGTTAGTGCCAATTGCAATATGTAAATAACTTTATTTGTTCACCTCACAATATTTTACTGTCAAATACATGATCAAAATTTTCATGAAATTTAACACGAATCTGGAGGCGTGCTGCTTTACACAAAATCATTATCCTTATATGTTGCAAGAGAAATGAATCCAGTCTAAAACATCAGCAGGTCACAAGAGCTAAAACAAGCTTTAGAAATAAATCTTTAAAATCATTACCTCGAAAACTGCAATGCCAAAAACTGAGATATTTGCAAGGGGCAAAATTTGTCACGCCCCTGGGGTCACTTACTTTATATATAATTGTAAAGGACATAGAGCAATAAAGGATCCCTACTATTGAAATGTTGCAGCCATGGTTTGACTAAGCCTATTCGTGGACATTATTTGTAATTGCATTATAGAATTGTGACCTTTTCTGGCAATATATCTCAAGTGAGCGATCCAGGGCCCTAGGTACCTTTTTACTTAGCCTCACACAGATGATCCTAAATCTAAAAACATTTTTACCTTAGCTTAGAATCGAAAGGGTATTTTAATTTAAATTAATTATATTTTTAGAATCATGAGAATCATTTTCAAGTACAAGCAAAATCACACATTCAAACACACTAGGCATATTTTTTTTTTCTTTTTGTATTTCCTATCCTGCAGGAAATCATTTAATGAAGATAACATGTAATTATTTATCATGATTTGATTTGTTTACAGGGCGGGTGATTTATGAAATGCTTTAATAATGTTTAATACATTATGGTGATAATTGTCCGAGTATTTTGATTTTCTTTATTTTTGTTGGGTTTTACGTCGCTATAGGATCTTTACTGCATGAATTGACTCTTTGAGATCATGCCAGCTGACCTGACATTGAAGATGTACCAAGAAACTTTCAAGTGTGTCACTTTATATTATGAAACCAAATATTGACAGTTATTCTAATGGAAAGAATAGTATCTAACACCCTTTCCATGAATCCGAAATTTTCTTGGGATAATACAAAACAACTTATTAGCTAATGTTTCTTGTAATATGTAAACCGACTTAAAATAAAGTTTCTTGTATCTTGTAACATTTTAAAAAGTATTGCAGGTAAACGTGCAGCCAGAAGCCACCAATTAACGTATTGCGTATTTTTTGTTTTCAACTAACCTCCATCCCATTACCCTCTTAACTCCTATGGCTAAACAATTTATAGATTTAGGTATTAAAGCCATGTTATATAAAAGAAATTTATTTCTCTCAAAAAAGCGACATATTTTTTTATATATATACTACAACTGATAACATGACATAAGAGTTGGTCTATTTAAGCCTTTTTAAGTAAAACTAGTTATAAATATTATTACTATAAGAATATGGAAATAGTAAATTTAAGCTCTCTTTGATAATCCTTGCATTGATAGACCTAAGTAAGGGAATATATGTTGGTCGAAGATGGACATTTGTGAGAGGGAGTGTTTTGAAGACATGAAGTATATATAAAAATCAAATTACATAAACAAAGATAATGGAAAAGGATTTTAAAATGATTGAGTCTGTTCGTAGACGGTAAACTAAAATGTGCAAGTTATGAAAATGGTAAAAATTTGGATTTAGAAACATGCACAGATGTGGTCATTCGTTGGTTATCATGAATACTTAAATATCAATGTGATAAAAAATATCCCTGATTCACCAAGTAAACGTCTATTTCTCCAGCATAGAATCTTTCAAAACATAAAAAATGAAGTGTAAAACAAACTTTCATTATGATACTATATTCAAAATATGTATATCAAGTTCTATTTTGTTAAATAATTGTAATTTGTAAACATTCATTGTGCCTTTTATACAAACATATCTCCAAATATTTTCGAAATTAACAAATCTTCGATGGCTGCAAAAAGGGCTCTCGAATTAAAGCAATCGGTTAGATCAATGTTCCTTTCCGTGAAACTTCGGATAATTTTGTCGCATATAGCCCGTAATGAAAATATATTTAGTCTCCTCAGACCTCATAATAAATATGTTACAACGCATTTTTCTCACACGTAACCGTTTAAAATACGAAATAAAATGATTTTTGTTTTTATCTAGCAAACTGTCAGTTTCAAAGCTGACACCCAGTTTTGGTTTGTAAGAAATGAATACGTTATGTTTATTATTTGCATAGTTCTGTAATATGTCATTCCTGGTGATCAAGGGGATTGTCATCTTCTAGATTTTGACTCCCAAATGATCATATGAGGGAAATAAAAATGAACTGATGAATTTACATTGAATTTATCAGTGTTAATGAATTTTCTACTGTGCTCCTCTTATACATGTACACAGGTTATCGGCATGGGACCAATACTACCCCCAGGTTATCACCCCCAAAATCCACTATACTCAGCAAACTACTAAGCAAATATACTTCAACCCATTCAAAATACATCATAATATGAAATTAGGCAAAGCCTATGAACGGGGAAGTCGGTAAAAAATTCTTTCATTTTTTCCGTTTTAAAGGTGTCATTCGGTATTATATATACCCGCTTCCGTTTTCACTCGGAACACTCGACGATTATTCCGAAAAGTTGAGATTTGTTCCGTTATCGGAATACACCGCCTTTTATCATTGAGTTACATTGTAAATGGCGGCGCCTAACTAGAACTGACACTGAAAATTTCATTGATAGGTATAGAATTCTATATATTTTTTCATTGTTTTTTTAATTGATTTTCTTTTAAATATTCACGTGTAGTCTATAGCCGGGCAAGCCAAAGCCCGGACCCGCTTCGCGGGCCCGGTCTTTGACTTCCCCGTATCAACACAAAAACAATTCTAACAAAAAATATACTAGTCTACTAGAGCTACCGATACTATCTGACTCTGAACTAATATCAGCTGGCCCCAACAAATCCACCTGCCTGCTCGCATTTGCCAGTGAAAGTTTGGGTCAGGCGAGAAAAAAATTATCAAACTCGCCGGACATTGTAAGTGAGATTCTCCAAATCCAAATGATGTTTCTCTAAACATTTAATGTAAATGAAGTTCTTCCATAGCAAATCAAACTGCAGATGCCTTTTCAATCGCAATACTGTCAAATGATTTAATGAAAACCCGAAATTGGCCTTATGAATTATGACTAGGTGTAACACTTCACAAATGCGTATGATGAATTCATTCCATAATGACAACAGTATTTGACAATGTTTTATACATACACATTCAGTAACCTTTTATACTTAACCATGCGGTAGATATTTTACCTGAGTGCATGCATGGGTTAGAATTTAATTGAAATAAGTATTCAGGTTATGTTGAAGATTAAATGTTAAGCAGCACGCCTCCAGATTCATGTTTATTTTCAAAATGAATTTTATTAAGTAAAAGTTGTTAATAAAGAAAAATGGACAAAGTATAATTGATCAGTTAATAGAATTCACATATTGGCAGGGACTACCTTGGACTGAAATTTAGGGAGAAGTGATTTCTCCCTTCAGGAAAAATAATGAGAAGTTTTGAAATTTAGGGAGAAGTGATCATCAAATCGAGTTATATCATTGGATTTCTTTTCTAATTTTATTTCACAAAATATACAATCATGTACACCATAGATGTACATGCATATAAAATATACATGTATATGGCACGGAAAATAAACAAATGTGTATTTGAAAATGGCTATGATGATATTGAATGAAGTAATAGTTGATTGTAAGCATTTGATTAACATCAACTCAACATTACATCAACACAACACTTTTTGGCCGGGTTGCACTGGTGCAAACCCGGGTTATAGTATGGTGAATGTTGGGCGCCGGGCGGGCGGCGGGCGGGGAAAAACTTTCGTAACAGTTTTCTCAGCAACTACTTATCACAGCCTTTTGATATTTGGTATACAGCATCAACACATGGTCCCATACTGTGGGATTCGATTTCAGGTCTGTCGCTCATCCACTTCCTGTTTGCTGACCTAGTTAAATTTTCAACATTAATGGTCAATTGCAGGAAATTTTCGTAACAGTTTTCTCAGCAACTACTTATCACAGCCTCTTGATATTTGGCATACAGCATTGACACATGGTACCATACCGTGGGATTGGATTTCAGGTCTGTCGCTCATCCACTTCCTGTTAATCCACTTAGTTAAATTAGTTAGATTTTTCGACATTAATGGTCAATGGTAGGAAATTTTCGTAACAGTTTTCTCAGGAACTACTTATCACAGCCTCTTGATATTTGGCATACAGCATTGACACATGGTCCCATACTGTGGGATTTGATTTCAGGTCTGTCGCTCATCCACTTCCTGTTTATCCACTTAGTTAAATTAGTTAGATTTTTCGACATTAATGGTCAATGGTAGGAAATTTTCGTAACAGTTTTCTCAGCAACTACTTATCACAGCCTCTTGATATTTGGCATACAGCATTGACACATGGTCCCATACTGTGGGATTTGATTTCAGGTCTGTCGCTCATCCACTTCCTGTTTATCCACTTAGTTAAATTAGATTTTTCGACATTAATGGTCAATGGTAGGAAATTTTCGTAACAGTTTTCTCAGCAACTACTTATCACAGCCTCTTGATATTTGGCATACAGCATTGACACATGGTCCTATACTGTGGGATTTGATTTCAAGTCTGCAGCTCATCCACTTCCTGTTCACATTTATGGTCACTGGTAGGAAATTTTCGTAACATTTTTCTCAGAAACTACTAATCACAGCCTCTTGATATTTGGCATACAGCATTGACACATGGTCCCATACTGTGGGATTCGATTTTAGGTGTGTAGCTCATCCACTTCCTGTATACCCTACTGAATTAAATTTTTGACATTAATGGGTCAATTTTTTTTTTCGTAACATCACAGCCTCATGATATTTGGTGTACAAATGCAACCCGGCCTTTTCTGTCTTTGACCCATTTTTAATTTTTTATTTAGGTTCAACAATTTCTGACTGTAACTTTTAAATGCAATTAATTAAGAAGAAAATTTCTTTAATTCATAATAATTATCCATATTCTATCAATTTACATCAGCTTCAATGATGAATATTAGATCTACTATCATAAATGTAATGGCGATAACAGGAATGGACCGGCAAACATATATGGGATATTGTAAATCAAACAGGAAATATAGGGGAATTTTGAAAATCAAACAGGACATATAGGGGAAATTGTAAATCAAACAGGACATATAGGGGAAATTGTAAATCAAACAGTACATAAAGGTGATATTGTAAATCAAACAAAATGTACAGGGGATATTGTAAATAAGACACAAATATAAGTTTGAGGTGACTTAATTATCAATTAGCTAGCTTTTTATCATCTGCTGCATTCATATCAGAGTCTTTCACAGCTTTAATTTACCGTAAAATCAATGTGCTATTTTTAGCGATGTGTATTTCCAATTGTGAATTCCAAATGTTGCTATGGCCACGCTTCAGGGCATGTGCTAATTACGTCAGATTACACAATTAAATCTGCCTCCAGGCAGTATTATCGGGTGGAGAAATATACATGTCAGACTTTTCATTGAGATTTTAGGGCGACTAGAATTTCGCTTTTCTGATCATATAGGGCGAGGTGAAAATATTTACGACGAGTTTTCGCCCGACTACGCCCTGAACGCAGTCCCTGATTTGGGTGTTTAAATGGTACTGAAAAATTACTTTTTTATAATCACATGTACAATTAAATTTCTTGAAAACAGTGAAGTAACCACCATGTCATTTTTTGTTGCCATTTTGCCTTTTAGTTTCTAATGCATTTTGTTTTTAGATATAAAATCTGTGTTTTCAGGCATGTCAGTGATTGCATGATGTCACAATATGATGAAGATATATATGAGAGTCCATTCTTTGTGGCCCTAGAGAAACAACACAAGTCTTTGTTTGATAAGGCAACAGCCAATAGATGGGTGGTAAGAAAATTTTATAAATAACTGGTCACACTAAGTCTTACTTAGAAAACTCTGATACTGAAAAATATTTTCACATGATTTTAGTGAAACTTAGTATTTTGTTGATTTTAATTATCATGATGCCAGCTAAATCAGGGCTTTATTAAGCTGTAGGACGCCTGCCATAAATTTTGTGGAAAGTAACATGGTACTTTTGCAAAGAAAGAAAAATAAGAACTTGATGTCTGTTGAATTTCAGAGATTGCAGGAGTAAGAAATTGCACGAGTGGTAGCAGCCATTAAATGGACCCTTCTATAGAAGTGAAACAAAGCCCTGTAAATTAGGATGTTTGATATTGATCTCTTTTTTTAGCTCACCTGTCACAAAGTGACAGCGTGAGCTTTTGTGATCGCTTTTCGTCCGGCGTCCGTCCGTCCGGCGTCCGTCATCCGTCCATAAACTTTTACTTTAAATGACATCTCCTCATAAACCACTAAGCCAATTTCATCCAAACTTCACAGGAATGTTCCTTTGGTGGTCACCTTTAAAAAATATTCAAAGAATTTAATTCCATGCAGAACTCTGGTTGCCATGGCAACCGAAAGAAAAAACTTTAAATATCTTCTTTTAAAAAACCCTATAAGCTAGAGCTTAGATATTTGGCATGAAACATCTTCTAGTGAGTGTCTACCAAGTTTGTTCAAATAAAGTCCCTGGGGTCAAAATTGGCCCCGCCCCGGGGGGTCATTGATTTTCCCTATATGCATATAGTAAAAACTTAAAAAATCTTCTTTGAAAGAACTCAAAGAGCTAGAGCTAAGATATTCAGCATGAAACATCTTCTAATGGGTGCCTACCAAGTTTGTTCAAATAAAAGCCCTGGGGTCAAAATTGGCCCGGCCCCGGGGGTTATTGATTTTCCTTATATGTGTATAGCAAAAACTTAAATAATCTTCTTTGAAAAAACCCAAATAGCTAGAGTTTAGATATGAAGCATGAAACATCTTCTAGTGTGTGTCTACAAAGTATGTTCAAATAAAAGCCCTGAGGTCAAAATTGGCCCCGCCCCGGGGGGTCTTGATTTTCCCTATATGCATATAGTAAAAACTGAAAAAATCTTCTTTGAAAAAACCTAAATAGCTAGAGTTTAGATATTAAGCATGAAACATCTTCTAGTAAACGTCTACAAAGTTTGTTCAAATAAAAGCCCTGGGGTCAAAATTGGCCCCGCCCCAGGGGTGTCATTGTTTTTAACTATATGTGTGTAGTAAAACCTTAAAAATCTTCTTTTAAAAAACCCAATGAGCTAGAGCTTAGATGTTTAGCATGAAATATCTTCTTATGGATGTCTACAACAAAGTTTGTTCAAATAAAAGCCCTTGGGTGAAAATTGGCCCTGCCGGGGGGGGGGGGGGTGAAATGATAAAGAAGAGGCTATAGAATAATAGCCTCTTGATTTTGCTAAAATTTCTAATTTGGGAAGCTGGCTTTACCTGGTGTAAGTTAGGATTTTTGGGAAATCTGCATGAATTTAAAGAAAATTACAATTGATAAGAGGCCTTTTATGTTATAATGCAAAAAATCCCTTAAATTGTATCATTTTTTGTTCAAGATTTGTGTTCCAAAGTTTTCTGCAGTGAAGAAAGATGAATTAGGAACAAAAGATTTTGAGGATCATATATTGATACCAGCAGTTGATAATGACAGTGCCTTTACTACAGTCTCTAAACATGTAAGTTAATTAACAATTTGTGGTCTGAGTTTCTGTGTTAACCCACATGAAGGTTATTAGATCTGTTCAGCAATTCATAAATGCAGTTCATGTGATCTTCCATATCTTCCTCAAAGTGCATTAGTAAAATAATAGGATAAGATAAATAGAAATTTTGCTGAACACGATTTCATTGGTCAATATTTTATGCACCTGTTGCTGCATATTGAGGCAATTTGATTCATTTTACCAACAGTTGATTACATGTTATCATATGTTACATGTTAATCAACCGTGGGTATCCGATGATAAATGTACATTACAAAAATAATGGAAAGAAGATGAAAAATTGAATGTTTTTTTAACTTTAAACTATTTGACAGTCAAAAAGTGATTGATCTTGTCATGCTATATTCATTAACTGGGTTTCTTTTTGAAACAAAACTTGATTGCAATCATTAAAAACTTAAAATCTACAATCTGATTACCAGGTACATAGGCTTTTATGCTGTCAAGTGTATTTTACATTTAATTTACAAAAGTAACCAAGTGTTTTATATTTGCATTGCTTCAATGGACATTGCATAGTCAAAAATGTAGCAGTACCATATATGTGAACATTGTATTGTTGTATTTCTAGAAAGTTGAAATTCAGTCAGGTCAGATCAATCTTGCCTCAGGATTAAAAGCAGGAAAAGTGAGTATAAAGTTCAAAATGGTCATAGTAGTTGTATTGTAAAGTTGTTTGACTACAAGTTTAGTAGATGTGAATTTGATCCTTGCTTACCACTATCAGCCTTTTTGATCAGCCATTTTGATTATGTTCCTGTTTATTTGTCATGTACTTGAATGAATGACAAAAACTGTTGAGCACCAAATGACTAAGATAATTCTGAAATAGTCACCTTTATAAATTTCAGAAGTTTACTCTTTTATGGACAGTTTATGTACCCTGAAGAAGGCTGTTCAGCCAAAATATTGGTGTATTAAAGGGAATTTTAAGAAAATTGCTGTTGAATAATTCTTTTTAACTACCAGTATTTATGTATAATTAAGGGACTTAATGTTGGTAAATTAGTCTTAGATTTTCAATTAATCAGCAGTTGTATTACTTTAATCACAGTCTGAATCCCAAATTCATTTCAATAACAGTAATGTATTGTGATGCTGTACGACTCAGAAGGTCTACGAAATATTATTTTCGTTTGTCGAAATATCTTTGGCTCTTTTGTACTTTACATAATTCACCTACCATAAATTTGTGCAAAGGCTTAAGATATGCAGCCATAATAAATTCAAAGCAATTGTATTTTAACTTAAGTGGCAACTCTTAAATGTTTATTATAAGTAAATGTTTGTTTTTACTTTGTAGGTAGATATTTTATTTGAAGAGACATTCTACAACACAAAAGATGAAAGTTACAGGGTGGTCTGTGTATCAGGGTTCTTTAACAGGGAAATTACGCAAGGTACATCAGTCTTAAATTATTTAAATAATACCATTACAAATTATTGTTACATTATTATAACATTTTGTAAAACTGTAAATACACAGCCATAGGTTAAACTGTCTCACACTGTGTGAAGAAATGTGACAGGAAAAATACACAAGATAGTACCATATAAATTTTATGTTTACAGGAACATGATCAGTAGATTATTTCAATTCACATTACAGGGAAAACTCACCACATCAAGTTTCATTATTTTATGGAATAGTTTCCAGTTCACTTAAATAATACAATTTATCTTAGAGAATTGATTGAAATTGATGGAAGCTGCCTTAGGTAGTATCTCATAAAGAATACAGGGACATTGTATCTTGCTTTAAAGCTTTTAATGTTTTAATTCCCATTTTTATTGATTTCACACATATAGAAAGACATGTAAGCAGTGATTTTGCTTTGCATAAAATAGATACAGAATATATAGGCCTTTTACAATTGCAGAGTGTTAAAAATTTCTATGTAAATTTGAAAATTTCCAAAAATATTTCATTTGATCAGCTGTGTCCAAACTTTTCATAATGCTTGGAGTGAAAATATCCTTAACATGTGTGCATTGTTAATCGGAAAAAAAAAAGATTTTTTTTTAGATTACTGTACTAAATTTTCCCAATTTATAATGCATCTGTTCGTGCCTGTATGTCTTGTTGTATGTTACATGAATATGTTTTTTTATGTCCAAGTTTAAGGTATTAGGGGCTCATTTCCTCTTAAAGGCCTCGCTTTCTCTTAAATCAAACAACTTGACTTTTAATTTTACTTATGACACACAGAAATATTTTATGTTGTTTCACTGATGCAAAAGGTTTATAGTCAATTGATATGATAATACAGTGCAACCTATAAGGAAGGAAGTGCTGATTTGTTGTACACAATGAAATGAGCCGCGTCATGACAAAACAAACATAACGGGTTTGCGACCAGCATGGATCCAGACCAGCCTGCGCAGTCTGATCAGGATCCATGCTGTTCGCTTACAAACCCTATTACAAGTAAAGAAACTGATAGCAAACAGCATGGATCCTGATCAGACTGTGCTGTTGCACAGGCTGGTCTGAATCCATGCTGGTCGCAAACCCATTATGTTGGTTTTGTCATGACGCGGCTCAAATTGATTGCTGCATTCTTAACTCTATCTATTTTTCTCATCTAGTCTGTCTAATATGATAAGGTTACATGAAGAAATATTTTTGATAAGGTTACTTGTCACTGAATTTGAAGATGGTCTTTACCTGCTTTGAATTTGATATTGATCATTGTTTGTTATACAGATTTTAAGATCTAATATTTAAGCAGTTATACTGAATTAGCCTGCTTTGTTGTTATGTTGTATCAATGCCTATTTATGCCATTATTTTGAAAAGTTTATTTTTTATTGAAATAGATGATTCATCAGATTCAGGGGTAGATTCAGACTGGAGCAAAATTCCTGTCACCTATGATGAATGTATACATATACTTTGGGGACATCAAGGTAAAATTTGACCAAATTTATCTTAAATTTTTTGTTTTTCACATTTGCTTTGTAACTCTAAATTTATCTTATGAATCTTTGTTCTACCTATTCTGACATTTTCTCCACAAGTAACAAACATGTTCATTAAAGGAATTTATAATTTAATGATAAACAAGTAGCTTTAAGCAAATTGTTTTCTACCAGACATTGTTATAAAGTTTGTAGACTGGCTATTAATTTATGAATTTAAAGTTTATTTTAGTTTGATTACAGAACAAGTTCTTGCAAGTTATATTTATCACATTCAAGTCTACTTTCTGGAACTAACCATGAGGAATCATGATCTTGACCTGAGTAGGGCTCGAACCCACCATCCCTTGGTTGAGAGGCAGACACCTTATCTATAAGGCCACCTCTTCTCTTATATTTATTAATCTTGGGCATATATACATGAACATAATGCTGCTTTTACTGAGATATTTGTACAGACTGGCAACAGTGTTGTTAGCTCGACTATTCGATAAGAATAAGTAGAGCTATTGTTGTCACCGGAGCGTCGGCGTCGGCGTTGGTGTCCGCGTCGGCGTAACCACTTATGTTAAAGTTTTTGTAATAGTTCAAATATTTTCAAAGTCCATTGACATATGGCTTTGAAACTTGGCACACTTGTTCACCATCATGACCCCAACCTGTAGACAGGAGGAGGTAACTGTATCAAGCATTTTGACAGAATTATGCCCCTTTTTCGACTTAGAATTTACGTTAAAGTTTTGTAATAGTTCAAATATTTTCAAAGTCCATTGACATATGGCTTTGAAACTTTGCACACTTGTTCACCATCATGACCCCAACCTGTAGACAGGAGGAGGTAACTGTATCAAGCATTTTGACAGAATTATGCCCCTTTTTCAACTTAGAATTTACGTTAAAGTTTTTGTAATAGTTCAAATATTTTCAAAGTCCATTGACATATGGCTTTGAAACTTTGCACACTTGTTCACCATCATGACCCCAACCTGTAGACAGGAGGAGGTAACTGTATAAAGAATTTTAGCAGAATTATGCCCCTTTTTCGACTTAGAATTTACGTTATAGTTTTTGTAATAGTTCAAATATTTTCAAAGTCCATTGACATATGGCTTTGAAACTTTGCACACTTGTTCACCATCATGACCCCGACCTGTAAACAGGAGGAGGTAACTGTATCAAGCATTTTGACAGAATTATGCCCCTTTTTCGACTTAGAATTTACGTTAAAGTTTTTGTAATAGTTCAAATATTTTCAAAGTCCATTGACATATGGCTTTGAAACTTTGCACACTTGTTCACCATCATTACCCCAACCTGTAAATAGGAGGAGGTAATTGTATCAAGCATTTTTTTTTACTATCAAGCACTAAGAATAGTCGAGCGTTGCTGTCCTACCGACAGCTCTTGTTTTTATTGTTAAGACAGCTTCTGAAAACAAATAAAGATAGGCTGTTGTTGAGACGTTTTTCATGATTAAAAAATTTACTGTTTGGACAGTATTGGACCTGTTACCAAAAGAGTAAACAAAAGCTGAACATATATTAACATACATTTGAATTGATAGTAATATATAAAGTATTGAAGATGAATTATAATGCTGTGTTGTAGGTAGTAGTAAAACAAAAGAAAATTTTGACAAGATGTTGAAGATATTTTGCGGGGAGTATCAGAGATTTGAGGGGACAGCTGACAGCATTCCTAATCTTGCAGTATGTTTATAGTATCACTGTATCATTATACATTTGTAATGTTTTATAACATTAATTTAAAAGACATGATTTGGGTTGATTTCAGTAAAATGTCAGGTGAACTTATCCATTCTTTATACATGTACATCTGAATTCTGGATGATTGTGATATTATTGTATATAAATACATGTGTCTACCATCTTTTGATGATAAATTGAATAATTTTTTCTGTTTGTTGTAAATTAGACAAAGTTGTGAATGTTATTTTATATTTGGTTCTAGATAATTTGTATTGGAAAATACTGATTTAGTGGAAGTAAACGATGCTGATGCTAGAAATAGTTATAAACATTGAGTAAAAATTGAATAACTATAGAGGATGATTGATTTTATTTAGAAAAACAATCTTTTGTTATCATATTCTAGGATCTGGTAGCATCCCACGTAACCAAGGCTATGCAGATTGTTCTAAAAGATCCACAGATAGTAAGTAACAAGTGCAGTTGTTCATAGAAAGTATAAAATAAATCATGAAAGTATGAAGTACAGATTCTTCTAAAAGATCAATAATCAGCAAGCATTTAGTGCAGAATGTTCTAAAAGATCACTAAATAGAAAATATTTTATGCAGATTGTTCTTCCAACATAAAGGGAAAACAATCACTTCTAAAAAAAATTTATTCTGTTTATTTCGAATTACATTGAACAGTGGCAGCTATTTACATGTATGTCTGTGAATAGCCCATGCGTTTATATTTGTCAAAGGTTTCCAATAGGTTTTCTAACTTTAAATAATTAAATAAAAATCAATGATTTTTCAGATATAAAGTTAAAGGTAAAGTAATACTGGAAAATAATTGCGATTGATTTTCTACAATGAAAACTTGAGAAGTATGTAAATAGATCTTATTTAAACAATATATTTGCTTTAAGGCATAGCTGACAGGTTAATGTGATTGGCATTGAACCATTTTCCTGTTAGGGCAGCTTTGGGTTTAATAATTCCAAAAGAGATATTGAATGTTTTGTCTGTACAGTATTGATAAAGTCCGCCATTTCATACAATCTTGAGCTAAATAGACAGCTTGGGTCTACATAGCTTGTATTCAGCAGTTCTTGGCATGTTTGGTATTTTCCATCCACAATTATGAATTTGTTTTTTAGTTTATTTGGAAAAATTTGAAAAAAAAACAAACAAAAAAAAACAAGTTTCTACTGGTGCCTAGAACGTTAAGTGAGTGAATACTTTTCAGTCTGTAACTGGAATAAGATTTCAAATTGAAATTCAGAATATTCAAAGACATACATGTAAATGTATTGTATACAAGTGAAAATATCCCAGCGTTATAATAATTTTGAATAAAATTTATTGCAGAAAAAACTTGTTAAACAAGAAGACATGTTCATGGCCAGTTTAAAGGTAGCTGTTGAGGTAAGGACATGAAACGTCGTATATAATTCTTTAACAGTTAACATTATAGCATTAAAATAATTTACCAAACAAGAATAGAAAATGATAATACATACACTGATTTAATTTTGCTTTAAGTCTTTATTACAAGATTTAAACTTTCTTATTGAGTCAAGAATTAGTATGACAGCAATCAAATTTATGCCAAAATTTTAAGTCAAAATCCATTCTGAATTAATTATTTACTTTTGTTAGATATAAAAGACTCCTGCTTAACTTTTGTCAAGCTCTGAAATGACTCAAGCAAACTGTTCATCCGATAGCTCTTGTTAATTTCTAATGTTATCCCTCTTATTAATTGATTCATAGAATAGGAAGAGCTGTTGTATTCACCAATGTGTTGGCATCACATTTTGTATAAGATTTTGCATGCAAGTTGGTATATCCATAACTTCACACACTTATTTGAGAGCATATGTCCAAGGCCCATAATTCTAAAATTGATTTTGACAGAATTATTGCCCTTGCTGAAATATGATAAGTCTACCTTATCCAGGCTCTTGTTCTACTATCAGGCACTGAGAATAGTCAACAAGCTATCTTAAAGACAGCCCTTGTTTGTAGTTATTCTTCATCTATATTTGATGTGTTTTTTTTTTTACGCCTTTCATGTACATGTTGTATTCAATGGGTATTTTCTGGTATAAGTGCTTACTTCTTGAAAATTTTGCCTGTATTTTACTTATATTTCAGACATATATGATGAATGCTGTACATAAACACTTGTTTACTACAATCACAGCTTGTGTCAAATCTTCGGATGCCCTCATTAACAAGATGACGAGAAACTTGCTAGATATTCGACTTCACAATCTGGACATTAGATCAGAGTTTGAGGAAAACTTACCATATGCTAAGAAGGAAGTTTCCAGATTAAACCAGTTTAGCACTCCACTTGGAAGGGTTCTGTGTTTGAAGAGAGTTGTAACGGCTTTGACAAAACCGCTGTTTAAATCACAGGAAAATGAAGGTATTTTACTTATCTATTAGCTTCAGAAAAATATTTTAATTTTCTTTTAAAAGTAAAGAAACAAAAACAGATAAAAGGATTTGTGTATGTTTTGCATGAATATAACATTTTCATATGCCTGAAAGAATTTCGGGCATATTATGTTATACCCCCTGACGTCTGTCCGTATGTCTGTCTGTCCTTGCTATTTAAAAGAAGTAGGGGGCCATGTAACAGAACAAAAGAGAACAATGAAGTTCATTCCGTAACAATAGAATAAGGGGCCATGGCCCTCTATTAAACAAAAGAAATGGCCCCAAAGTCCATTTAAGTGGTACATCCCTTAGCAATTTGGTTTCCGGAGCATAAATTAAGTTCCATTTGGCTTACAATGTACAGACTTCATTGGATGATTTTCCATATTGGGTAGAAGACCCCTATTGATTTTGGTAGCACATGGTATTACCTTAAAACTGAAAACAGTTTCCGGAGCATAACTTCAGTTCCATTTTTGCATACAATATTCAAACTTCATAGGATGATTGTCCATATTTGGTGGAGACCCATATTGATTTTGGGGTCATAAGGTCAAGGTCACTATTACCTTAAATCTGAAAATAGTTTCCGGAGCATTACTTAAGTTCCATTAGGCCCACAATATTCAAACTTCATAGGATGATTGTCCGTATTGGGTAGGAAACCCCTATTGATTTTGGGGTCACAAGGTCAAAGGTCAAGGTCACTATTACCTTAAATCTGAAAATAGTTTCCGGAGCATAACATAAGTTCCATTAGGCCCACAACAGAGCAACAGATAAGCTTTAAAAGTGAATTGGGTATTACTCCATCATTTCCTTTGGAATTGGGTATTGGCTCAATTTAATTGGGTATTCCAAAACTCGATACCCTATGATTTCAAGATCAATTGGGTATTCAATTATGAAGGTATGAATTTTATGGTTTCAATATCAATAAAATTTAAACGGTATTAAAAAGAAAATAGGATTAACAATTTACTAGAAATTTTCACAATTGTTTTATTTTTTATGTAAAAAGCTCATGTTATATTTCATAATATTTTTAACAAATTCGTTTTCTGACTGATTTTTTATTATTTACGAATCATTTTTCCCTTTTGCACGACGCCATATTGCTTTCAAAGCGTCTATTGATACAGCTGGGACCTACTTATTGACGGTCTCCTCAAAATCAACGGTCTCTGCCGGTCTGTTAAAACCGTCGACCTGAGTAGACAAATCGACAGTCTCATGCTTTATTGATATGGCTTAGTCGGTCATTGGAGACCGGGGACCGTCGAAGACCGGAGACCGTTGATTAGTTAGCATTGATTCGGGAATATTCGGATTGCATGCATATCGATATAATTTGTCCAAAACAACGAGCGTACGACAGATTAATTTTGCGGTGATGAAAATAACGATACGCACGGGTTTTTAAGACAATTGCATATTTTATTTTTTTAAATGGGTTTTGATACGCATTCTTAAAAAATCAATTGCGTATTTTCTAAAATTAATTGCGTAAATACGCAAATACACACCTTATCTGTTGCTCTGCACAATATTCAAACTTCATAGGATGATTGTCCATATTGGGTCGGAAACCCCTATTGATTTTGGGGTCACAAGGTCATAGTTCAAGGTCACTAGTTCCTTAAAACTGAAAACAGTTTCTTGAGTATAACTTCAGTTTCATTTGGCCCACAGTACAAAGCCAAATTATCATACTATGTCGCATGTGTCAAAGGTCACAGCCAAATTTTCTAAAGATAAAAAGATAAGTTTCTATATATAAGACTGAGATGAATACAGCTTCCCCAGAAGTCAAAATTTTCTCTTATTATTTTATAATGACATATAAGGATTACCTATAGTAGTAGAAATTATTGTCTCTACTTGACCTAAAAAAATATTATTCTGGAAATTAAATTTCAAAAATGACAGCAGTTCTTGATTATTCCACAGTAATATCCATGGGTAAGTTTTTGACTAAGATGTCACTACATTAAACTCATTGTAATGAATGTCCAGCATTTTGTTGCCTAAATATTGTTATATCATGCCATATCTTACACTAGCTGCTGTAGTCATCATTATATATTTTATCGGGTTTAACGTCGCACCAACACAGTATAGGTCATATGGCGACTTTTCAGCTTTACTGGTTGAGGAAGGCCTCAGGTTCACCTTTGTGCATGATTTCAGGCACAAATGGGCACCTGAGTAGAACCATTAGCATTCAGTAAGCTAGTTGGATTGCTTTCTCACATGAAAGAATCCAAAGAGGCTTGCGTGGCTCAAACCTACAGCGATGATAGGCAAGTAGTTTGAAGTAAACAACCGTAACTTTTACATTTTAGGTTTAATGATGTCCTCTGACGAGCTTTTGCCTTTATTGATATACCTCATCATCAAATCTCAGATGGCTAATTGGTAAGATATATGTTATATATGTATGTACAATATGTATATATCTTTATATTTCACTGTGTTTGAAAAACTAAACATGATTACCGTACTCCATTGTTATTATATTTTTCTGGTCATTCGGGATATAGTGTTGAAGATTGAATTCTGATTGGGGGCAAGAGAGATGTTGTACTTTTGCATTATCTCTTGCGAACAGACTTAATGGAGGATTCACCTCGTTTTTTTTTTCTGGATAGGTATCATGAAGACACACCATTCCTAGTTTTGACAGGTACTTAATTAATCAAGATAATAATAAAATTTATTTTTCTGTTGTTGAACAGTTATAAAGGACATGAAAAAAGAACTTATATCATACCAGGTCAGCTTAAGCTTTGTAAGAATCATCAGAATTTATTGTTGAAAACTTTGTGTATGTGTTTTGTACATAGGTGTGTATTTGTAAGCCTGTTGCTTAAGATAATATTAACAGTTTAACACTGTTCTCCATGTATTTTCAGGACAGCAAATCTAATGTACATGAAGTACTTCCAGGTTGCCAAAATGACAGAAAGCAATGAGTTCAGGTAGCTATAGTTGACTTTTATTCAAACTGCATACATTCATTTAATAAGGGCAAAACTATAAGCCTAAATTATGTTAAAAATTGATATGTAAATACTTTAGATAAGACTGCTTCTGCTTGACACAACCAGTTTAAAAGAACAATTGTGTTAATAATTTCATGTTGAGGGAATTGTTATTTTACTTAGATTTTATCATTCTACTGCATTTCTCTTAAATTGTTACAAATATTTTAATATTAGAAAGTAAATGTTCACTATTTATTATTGTAGTTTACATGCTTATCGTTGTCTTTAGTTTAACTATAGTTGGCAACTGAATCTGCCCATGTGACAAGTGCAGACCAGTGATGGCACATCCATAATGTTTGATTTTCAATGATCCTCATTTTTAGCTATTCAGTCTGGGAACGTATTTTGAATTTTTCCTAAATTTGATGAATTGTTATGAACAATGGAGTAAATTTAAGGTGTTTAGAGCAGTAAGGTTTTAACTACTTATTATTAACCAGGTTTTCAATTTTGAAAATCCTGGTTATTAGATTGGGGTATGGCGGGCGGATGGGCGGCTGGGCGGATGGGCGGGCGTCAAACGAAATTGTGTCCGCTCTGTAACTCTTCAACCCTTTGAAGAATTTTGATGAAACTTCAGACAAATGTTTACCACATCAAGATGACGTGCAGAACGCATGTTCCGCATGGCTGGCTCCAAGGTCAAGGTCACAGTGACATTAACATTGGCGTCAAACGAAATTGTGTCCGCTCTGTAACTCTTCAACCCTTTGAAGAATTTTGATGAAACTTCAGACAAATGTTTACCACATCAAGATGACGTGCAGAACGCATGTTCCGCATGGCTGGCTCCAAGGTCAAGGTCACAGTGACATTAACATTGAAAATCCTGTCCGCTCTGTAACTCTTCAACCCTTTGAAGAATTTTGATGAAACTTCAGACAAATGTTTACCACATCAAGATGACGTGCAGAACGCATGTTCCGCATGGCTGGCTCCAAGGTCAAGGTCACAGTGACATTAACATTGAAAATCCTGTTTACATGATTTTAACTTGATTTGGCAGTCAAAGGTCATATCATCTTTGGAGGTAATTTAAAAAAGATATGATATATTATTTCATGTCTACTTTGTAACTTGAAAATTTTAAAAAATTTGAACTTTTTGAAGAATTTTAGAGCAAGCGTATATTTCTATATGATGTTTCAGCAGTTGATGTCTCAATGATTGTACTAAAACATCTATAGAACCCTCTCAAACTTGCTTTCATTTAACTCAAATTGTTGTCTCATTATTAAGTATACTCCTTGCAGACAGTATTGTTAGCCGAAATTTACATCCTACTCATTATCATGTATTCTCATGAATATTATCTTTTCCTTCATGTCATGTTATAATCTTTTGAATATTCATAGCAATCTTCATTCCAAAATTCATACTATAGTATAGAATCAGAACAACATTTTTGAAAACCTGGTTTCGTGGCATTGCCATGTTTCTTGTTTAATATTTTGTTACAGTTTTTACTTGGCAACAATAGAAGCTGCCCTGGATTACATAAGTTCTGGCAATTTGAAGGTAAACAACTTATCATTGTTTGCTTATTATATATACATGTGTACAGAAATTAAAAGGGGGCTTCACTGGCTGAGTGGTTATGGTTTATAACTGTGAATCACTTGCACATCACAGATGTAGGTTTGAATCCCACCAGGGATGTAGAAAATCTTTCATGTGAACATGGTATCCATCTTGCCTACAGGAAAACTTGTAATTTAAATAACACTTGGTGAGGCAAGAAAGGCAATCCATCAGTTAAGCTGAAAATTTACTATATATCATTTACATGTATAATTTTGACATGACTTAAAAAAACAATAACAATAATAAAGTATATAGGTGTAAGACACTTTCTTTCAATAATCCTATCTGGTTTTTTCTTCTGTTTGTAAATTTTATTTATTACCAGACATATGCATTTTTGTAGCATTTATAGTCCATGAAGGCACATGAAAGTGTTTCAAGGTACTGTTGTTGCTATTGTGTGTATTGAATCTGTACATATATATATGCCATTATTGACATGTTTTTAAAGGCCTAAGAGATTTGTTTATACCATATTTAATAAACAAATGAATGTTGTTATGTTAATTTAATTAAGAAATAGGGAGTTTAAAGGATCAGAGTTGATAGGTAACATAAGGTTGATGTTTTAAGAACTAGTGAGTTTTGATTTTGTCATTTATATGCTCAACAACACTGTTATTACGCTCATTATTGGTTATATTTGTTTACAGCAAGGTAAAGAAACTGGGTTTAGCAGACAGACATCTGGAAGTACAACAACCAGCAAAGATAAATTCTTTCAAGTAAGTCTTCCTTTCATCTAACTGTCTATATTATGCTTTAAATATGATATCTTCTGTTAGTTCAGATAGTTTGTTAATTTTCATTTCATCAAAGCAGTTTTTTGTATCATCATAAAGTGGAAATATTGCTACAACAGCATTTGATTTGAGTTGAATTCTACACTATCTTCCTATGAATGATAATTTTGAATAATATTTTCTAGTTAAACATATTTTTTACACATCTTTAATGGGCTGTGAGTTTAATTCAAGATTAATCAATTCACAGGTGAAATGATACATACAGATACACATTGGATTTTTTCTTCCTTCTGTTGAAAAGCTGAAGATCTGCAATTTTACATCATCATTGTCTACATGAGTTAAAGCAACAAAAACTTTCACATTACATCATGCAACCGTCCTGTGAACAATATAAAAGTGCTGTTGCAACTTTCTACATTTAGTCATTGACATGACAGACCTTTGATTGACTTAAAACATCTTTAAACTTTTTTTCAGTATGTTCAGTACGGAGATGAGGCTGCCGTAAGCCTGATGTTGAAGAAACATAAACCTACAACTGATGATATCTCCACTAAGCTGTGTCACCCTCTATGTACATGTGATAAATGTATAGAAATTACAAGTCAATCGTCACAAAACTCTGGGGCTGTCTCGTCTATAGCTAGGGATGATATGGGTAGAACAGGTGATTTTATATTCTTTACATGATATGTTTTTGTCTTGTGTAATGATGTTAGCGAAAGAATCTGTGAAAATGTGTAAGGATCTTAGTGAAAGAATCTGTGAAAATGTGTTATGATCTTAGTGAAAGAATCTGTGAAAAAATGTAATGATCTTAGTGAAAGAATCTGTGAAAATGTGTAATGATCTTAGTGAAAGAATCTGTGAAAATGTGAAATGATCTTAGTGAAAGAATCTGTGAAAATGTGTTATGATCTTAGTAAAAGAATCTGTGAAAATGTGTAATGATATTAGTAAAACAATTTGTGAAAACGTGTAATGATCTTAGTGAAAGAATCTGTGAAAATGTGAAATGATCTTAGTGAAAGAATCTGTGAAAATGTGTTATGATCTTAGTAAAAGAATCTGTGAAATGTGTAATGATCTTAGTGAAAGAATCTGTGAAAATGTGTAATGATCTTAGTGAAAGAATCTGTGAAAATGTGTAATGATCTTAGTGAAAGAATCTGTGAAAATGTGTAATGATCTTAGTGAAAGAATGTGTAATGATCTCAGTGAAAGAATCTGTGAAAATGTGTAATGATCTTAGTGAAAGAATGTGTAATGATCTCAGTGAAAGAATCTGTGAAAATGGATGTAAGAAACATTCAGTAATATAATGCATTTAAAACGAGCATTATTGACTGTGATAAGATTAATTCAATGGTTATATTACACGGAGAGCATGTATTAAAGGAATATGTATGTTTGATATTTTCAGCTTTGCATATAGCAGCATTTTATGGGCAGGGAGCTTTGATAGACATTCTTTGTAAACATGGGTGTCTCACTGATGCTACAGATTATCTAGGTTGTACACCACTACATCTCGCTTCACAGAAAGGCTATCAAAATATCATTGTAAGTATTATAATAGAGGGTCATATTGCTTGGAAGTTTTACAATTGTAGTCTGCAACCATAAAAGTGAAATTTTATGATTATTTTGAAGGGTAAGATTCATCTTAAGAAAAGTTTAATGTCAATCTACCTTTGAATTAGTATCCCACTACAGGATTGCGGTTTTTGTTTTTGTTTTCATTGGTGGTTTTTTTATACCAATTTTAACACATTTTGGCCATATCTGTATTGTCAGTCCACCTAACCAGCATTCCTTGATAACTAACCAGTATTTAAAGGATCAACTTTTAATGCCACATGATTTCTGAATCAGCAGTCGGAGACAAATGACTCGAAATGTTCGAGATCATTTGTCACAGAAAAAGTATGTCTTGCCCAAGGATTGAACCAGGGACTGCTGGATTACTTTTTTGACGCTTTCCCTATTGAGCTCAATGGACAGACTCTGACCCACAGGAATACTATGAAAATCATTCATTTATTTTTTAAAATTCAAAAGTACATGAATATCAGTTTAATACATGGAAAATAAATTATGATTTTGTCATACGAATTTGAAATTTGTAACAAATTTAGACATTAAGTTTAATGATAATATTACAGTTGCTGTTGGTACATTTTGGTGCTGATATTAGTGCTGTAGATAATGAAGGAAATACATCACTACATTTATGTGCTAAAAATGGTCATGAAGATGTAAGTTGGTAACTTATTACCTTTTTATCATTTCTCTATTTCTATTTCAAATTCTATGAAAGTTATATGTTGTATCAGTAATACTGATGAATTTTTTTTAAATAAATGCTATTTATTACCAAAATGATTGTCTTTGGGAGATGTAAACTTTTTTATGCAATCTATTTAAAATAAAGTATAATTAGTAGTTAAATATGAAAAGTTTATTTTAACATTTTAAAAAAAAGCTTTAACCTGACACTGCTGGAACCAAAAGTGGTAAGACTTTGCCACCAATATAGAGCCAGCTTGCACAACTTTGAAGTTTGACCAGGTTCCATACTGTTGACTAACTTTATATTTCATCTTGATCCCTAAAATTGATAATGGACAGTTCCAAAATGGGAGCTGGACAACTCCATTTCAGAAATTTAGCAGGTTTAGGGTTAAACTACATTTCTACATGCAATTTGACACTGATCTGTTATGATGATTTAGGAAAAGAAATCTTCCCTCATGTATGACATATATTAAGAACAATTTTATTGCAATTCTAAATTTTTCTGTATTTCAGTGTGTTAAAGCAATACTATTTCTAGACATATTGAAGAACAAATTAAATGTGAATGCACAGAATGATATGGGAGACACACCATTACATATGGCAGCTAGATGGGGATATGGTGAGCCTATATCTCATTTTCTGTTTTAATACAAATGTTTTCTATATTAAACATGTTCTTTGGTCAAAGATGAATTTTAGTATAAACCTGTCCATAACATTAACTAATATTGTAAATTTTAAAAACTTCTTGATAGTGTTTTTTCTTACCTTTTAGCTTACATGGCACAAAATGAGCAATTAGGATTATCTGCTTTCCAACAAGCAAAATCATATATCAGTTATAACTTTCTTTGAAATCACAGTACTGAACTGATTTTGCACTGTCATATTTATCACATTACTTTCATTGCATCCAAAAATTGGCTGACATGGCAATGAAAACAATAAGAATAAATAAAAACTTCAAAATCATTTTTACTAGAACAGAAGGCCCAAAGCACTGTGTCTGATATTGTGTGTGTTGCATTACCATTTAGTTCTCTACCATGATTTGATTGAATAGAGATTGAATATTATTGGCGGTCACTTCTTTTACTTAGGCTCACAGAAGAAAAGCTGAAAAATTTAAAATTGTCTTCTACAAAAACACAAGGATTTTAACCTTTTGATACTGTTTGATGTCAAGCATTGTGTAACTTACTTCAACCAAGTTTTTCAAATCGTGGCGCTTTGCCAAAATTTGCCCTATAACAAGTGTCACCTGGTATACTAAAAACTGATTTTCTTCTTTCATCAAAGAGCTGTTGATTTATTGGCAGATATTTAAGATATTTGGTAGTTATGCACCTCCTATGAACCTGTTCAATCAAGATCAGCTTGTTTTCATCTGGGATAAAAAGAATTTAACAAACTACAACAGTGTAGCTTATAAATATTTTTGATAATATTTTTCTTTTCCCTGTTGTAGATGGTATAGTAAATTTCCTGCTAGAGTCGGAGGCTGACCCTCGTGTGAGGAACAGGAAACGTCAAACACCTTATAATGTTGCTCAAAATGCTGACATCAAAAAAAAGTTACTGGCAGTCCTGAATGACCCTCCACCTTTAATTATTAGACAACCTGTGGTAATATTTTCATATTCCATACCATTATTATACCCTCGGTCAACATATGTCATTTGAAGATGTGATTAAACATACCGTATTGTTTCTATTTAATGCATCCTGCACCCCCCCCCCCCCCTCTAATTAGCCCCCCCCCCCCACACACACACATGCATTGAGGCTTTAAATGGAAACAATATGGTATGCAAAATTGCAAAAATCGTAAATGACTTTCTTATTTTATTTATGCATAAAAATAATTTATGTTCTCTTTATTGGTTTTTGCTTTCCTTATTCTATATAACATCGTATTTTACTCATAATGGGTTTTTTAGCTCGACTTTTCTATGAAAAGGGGAGCTATCCTACTCGCCCCGGCGTCGGCGTCGGCGTTAGCGTCGGCGTTAGCGTCGGCGTTGGCGTCACACCTTGGTTAAGTTTTTCGTACCACCCCACTTTATTTCAGAAGTATTACAAGTATGGCTTTGAAACTTACCATACTTGTTCACCATCATAACCTCCATCTACAGACAAGAGTACATAACTCTGTCAAGGTTTTTGACAGAATTATGGCCCTTTTTTAGCTCGACTTTTCTATGAAAAGGGGAGCTATCCTACTCGCCCCGGCGTCGGCGTCGGCGTCGGCGTTAGCGTCGGCGTTGGCGTCACACCTTGGTTAAGTTTTTCGTACCACCCCACTTTATTTCAGAAGTATTACAAGTATGGCTTTGAAACTTACCATACTTGTTCACCATCATAACCTCCATCTACAGACAAGAGTACATAACTCTGTCAAGGTTTTTGACAGAATTATGGCCCTTTTTTGACTTAGAAAGTGTATTGAGCTTGGTTAAGTTTTTTGTACCACCTCACTTTATTTCAAAACCATTGGAGGTATTGCTTTGAAACTGACCATACTTGTTTACCATCACGACCTTCATCAACAGACAAGAGGACATAACTCTGTCAAGGTTTTTGACAGAATTATGCCCCTTTTTGACTTAGAAAATACATTGAATATGGGTAAAATCCACTTATTGCCTTAACCCTTTGAGATATTGCTTTTGAAACTTTTAATGCTATTTCACATCATTACCCCCATCTGTACGCAAGAGAAGGTAACTCTGTCAGGGATTTGTTTTAAAAATTAAGGCCTTTTATCGACTTAGAAATCTTGGTTAAGTTTTTTGTACCAGTCAACTTTTTGACTGAACTGGTTGAGATATTAAATTGAAAGTTGGAATACTTGTTTACCATCATGGTCCCAAACATGGGCAGGAGAAGGTAATTCTGTTAAGGATTTTATTTGAATTATGGCCCTTTTTGACTTAGAAACTCAGTTAAAATTTTCATTCTTGTCCACTTGTTGACCTAACCATTTGAGATATTACTTTGGAAGTTGGAGTTCTTATGTGCCATCATGAGACCTATCTGTAAGCAAGAGAAGATAACTCTGTGAAAATGTTTCTTGATTTGTACTTAGAAATTCCTAGTTAAAGTCTTGTGTGCCCTTAACTGTCAAAGTTTTGTTTTATAGGCAAGCACTAAAAAAGTCGAGCGCGCTGTCCTTCTGACAGCTCTTGTTGACTTAGAAAGTGTATTGAGCTTGGTTAAGTTTTTTGTACCACCTCACTTTATTTCAAAACCATTGGAGGTATTGCTTTGAAACTGACCATACTTGTTTACCATCACGACCTTCATCAACAGACAAGAGGACATAACTCTGTCAAGGTTTTTGACAGAATTATGCCCCTTTTTGACTTAGAAAATACATTGAATATGGGTAAAATCCACTTATTGCCTTAACCCTTTGAGATATTGCTTTGAAACTTTTAATGCTATTTCACATCATTACCCCCATCTGTACGCAAGAGAAGGTAACTCTGTCAAGGATTTGTTTTAAAAATTAAGGCCTTTTATCGACTTAGCATCTTGGTTAAGTTTTTAGTACCAGTCCACTTTTTGACTGAACTGTTTGAGATATTAATTTGAAAGTTGGAATACTTGTTTACCATCATGGTCCCAAAACATGGGCAGGAGAAGGTAATTCTGTTAAGGATTTTATTTGAATTATGGCCCTTTTTGACTTAGAAACTCAGTTAAGATTTTCATTCTTGTCCACTTGTTGACTTAACCATTTGAGATATTACTTTGGAAGTTGGAGTTCTTATGTGCCATCATGAGACCTATCTGTAAGCAAGAGAAGATAACTCTGTGAAAATGTTTCTTGATTTGTACTTAGAAATTCCTAGTTAAAGTCTTGTGTGCCCTTAACTGTCAAAGTTTTGTTTTATAGGCAAGCACTAAAAAAGTCGAGCGCGCTGTCCTTCTGACAGCTCTTGTTGTTGTATAAATTTGTAATTAAAGAAATAATGATTTTATCCTAGGTTTTCAAATTATTTGACCTTTACTTAATATAATGTAAGCTGTAATAAAGATTTAATGATTTTTAATGAATGCACATTTTAAAAATTAAATATTTTTCATTATTTCCCATAAATTACTGTTGCAAATATTCTTCTTCCATCTCTTATGCATGCATTTGCTATGAAAGCATATACTTTCTTCTTATTATAGAAGCCAGCAACCTTGCCTGTTCAAAACCATGTAACAAAGACTGCCCCAACCTCAGCACACATCCCTACCCCCTCCTCCACCCCACAAACTGACCTAGGTAGCTCTACCAGACAAACACAGGATAAGGTATGTAAATATGGACATGAAATATCAGAACTGTTTTACTGTAAATATTTCCTAAGTGTACACAGTCTATTCATGCATTCTTTATCCCTGTCCCACTTTACATATTTACAGACACATGGAAGTGCAACAGGGTGGTGTTTAAGCAGCAAAAGTGCAGACTGAAAAATTGGCAGGATGGCCCAGGACGGCACATGCCCTTTCCATTCCACTCTAGATTAATCACTATTGTCCATTATGTCTACAAAAAAAAAAATGTTAAAACATAATCGTATTCATACTTCTTGCCAGATGTATTTGTCTTTTTGTAGACATATAAACTGTAACAGTCAAAGTCTTTAAACAATGTGCTGTAGAATAGTGTATGGCTGACTTATCATTTACCATTAAGCCTTCAGGAGGCAACTGATTTTTCCCATGTAACCAGTACAGACTAAGATCAGCCAGCACATCTGTGCCATCTGGCTGGTCATGGTGTGCACTGTTAGCTTTTAAGTTAGTATATATTTTTAAATTATTCCTAAAATCAATTGATGGTGTCGTCCATTTTAAAAAATGGTGTAGTCCATGTTGAAAAATGGTGTCATCCATATTGATAAAAAAACAAGTTTTATTTAAGAAATTTTGTGTGGTAAGGGTTAAACCGTTAAATCTGTGACAGCTTTTCACATACAGACATAGAGATTTTCGTCTCTTTAATGTTAAAATGACACTAAGTTAAATTTTTTTGCTGTCAAGCTGACTTTGAATTAGTAAAATATTTCAAGAGATTCACTATTATAATTGTGTTTGACCCATAATTAATAATGAAAAATGTGTAGGATAAAATATAAAAACTACCAAACTGTAAAAAGACTGTCCCACTCTTTTTAAAAAATGAATGTTTCCAATACATAAAGAGTGATATTTATAGATGTTTCCATGGGTTACATGGATTATTGGTTTTTAGCATAGTAAAATATAAAATTAAACACATTTATGGCAATTCTTTTTTTTTTTCATTTTTACCTGTGCACTGACCATTTACACATAATGGCATAATTTCACTTTAAAGAAATTGGATTGCAACTTCCAGCATTAAGATTATACAGTTCTATAATTACTAGTATTTGGCAACATATATTTTATGAATTGTGTTATTTTAAAAACAATGCTTTCATTTATTTAATTTTAGACACCACTTGGATTTGAAGTAATAGATGTAAAGGTTAGACCTCCAATACAATTGGTAGATAACTCTAGCAGTGAAATGATGTCCCCAACTACACCAGCAGTTGCTTCCCTTGATCAGACAGATTTGAAACAGATTGAAAAACTGTACAAAGCAATAGCAAGCAGGGACTTACCTTTGGTCAGTGTTCCACTTATTTTGCAACAGAGATGATATTTAACAGATATTGTAATTTGTTTCTATTTTTTATGTGTTTTTGGTAACGTTACAAAAAAATCATAGGGATGTTGTCGTACATTGTGCAGACTTGAAAGCACTTGTCTGGCATCAATGTTGGTGTGACTACTGCTAGAGGTGTGTCATTCTTTCTTGTAAAAAAGTTGTGGCCCTACCTTTCAGAAGAAAACTTGTTCTACACAGTTACCTTCTCCTCATACAGCTGACAACTATAAGATCATCACTTAACCTTAACTTTAAAGCTGCACGCCTCCAGAAGAGCGAAAATATTTCAATAAATTCTAACTTGAAAAAAATGTACTAGGACTTAAGCAAAAGTAGAAAGTTTTAAGATTAAAGTAAAAAAAAATTCATGTTATTAGTGATCAATGGTTAATTTTTCTTTAAGCATAACTATATTTCTACTGGGTTAATAATTAGGGATGGCAACGAATACCAAAATCAATACTCAAGTACTCTGTCATTTTTTCGATAGAGTACATGGTTACTCGGATGATTGACAGTGATCTTCAAAGTTTATCACACAATATCAACACCGTCCGCATGCTACTTTCATTTTCTATTTAAATTCATAGAATTCTGTAGATAGTAAATAGGACTGCACGGGAGACAAATTAATTATAATTAAATCAACAACATAATATTTTACAACGTTTTGATTAATGCAATATCAAGTTATAAAACATGTATAACAGTTCATATATATTATTTTTCTTCTTGAAATAATATAGACTGATCGGTGGCAACAAAAGTTTAACACGGTCTAAATACTAGTTACCTTTATTTTTACATTCATGATAGCAATCGGCCCTTTGTTGTTTTCAAAACAGTTACTTCGGCTACACAATTAAAGGTAATCATAAGAGGCTGGATGACATAAGCGACACAGGTGCGCGTGTCACACTGTTGATCGCCTTGTTAAATTTATGATATCATTTTCGCACCTCTGCAAGGATGTTTTGATTGCATTTAACGGGTATTTATGAAGATACATGATAATCTCCGAATTTCTGAACTAATTGGATATTACCAATCTTTCTAAATCGAAAAAAAATAGAAAATATATATTTTTCTGTGTAATCGAGTATCAATATTGTTAACCGATATTCGGACCTTCGATTGAGTACTCGGTTAAACGGTTACTCGTTGCCATCCCTATTAATAATGCATTAAGGGCAATTTTGCATATTTTGAACTCTTTTGTAATTAACATGGGATGTTTCTGAGTAGTAAAAATAATTTATAATTATTTCATGTGGAGTAACTATATACCTTATTTTTGAGTAGTAAAGATAGTTGAATTATTTCAGTTGGTGTAACTATACTGGCATGGGAGCAGTTCCCCTACAGAAGCAGTACCCTTATTTTTCGTTTAATCGTTTTGTTTTTACTTGCATATGCATGAAGAAGACAAAATCTAAGTGTCAGTTCAGCTATATGTATAAAAAAATTTCATTTTAAATCACTTTCACCTGTCGGTTGTCAAAACGTGACAAAACATGACTTTGTAAACATTGGGGGGTTCCGTCCTTGCGTGCATGCGCAAAAAAACTTACATATGAGGAGGCTAAAGACTTTTCCACTAATACCACCCGAGTACAGATAAGTGGGCAATATCATGAAAATCTGTTTAATTTTCAGAATTTCTACCTGTATTACTATATGAAATAATGTTATGGCTTCAATTATTAAATATCACGCATTCCACTGCATAGATACAAGCGTTTAGTCTGCACTCTATATCCTGAATTACATCTATTAACCTCTGTGAAAATGGTCATTTCAACAATTATAAATGAAAAATAGATCTGATATAACAACATTGTATAATTAGGATGGGTTATGTTTTATGTATGGGTAGTACTTTTCTTCTTACAAAATAATAGATAATTTTGGTACCCCATATCAGGCCTCGTAACTAAGGGCTATTCTATGTTTAGAACATAATGGAATTTCAATAATTTGTGTGACAAGCCGAATATTGATGTGTAACGATCAATTTTTTGGTGAGTTAGTGTTATAAAAAATAATTTTTATGCCCCCACAGAGTGGGAGCATATAGCGTTGCACTTTTACGTCCGTCTGTCCGTCCGTCCGTCCGTATGTCCCGAAATCTTGTGAACGCACTCCTCTTAAACCGGATGGCAGATTTTGCTTAAACTTCCAGGGATGAACAACCTTAATGTGTAGATGGTAGTAAAGGAAGGAATTTTTGCTGCGTCCAAATTTAACAGAATTATGGCCCTTTGTTGACTTTTTCACTATATACCATATAGAAATTTTGTGAACGCAACTCCTCTTAAACGGGATGGCAGATTTTGCTTAAACTTTCAGATATGAACAACCTTAATGTGTAGATGGTAGTAAAGGAAGAAATTTTTGCTGCTACCAAATTTAACAGAATTATGGCCCTTTATTGATTTTTTCACTATATACCATATAGAAATTTTGTAAACGCAACTCTAGAGTAAATCTATTCAAAAAGAAAACATGTGCAGATAATTTGCTCTGAAGTTTTTCTGCAAAATATGTTGTTTTAGTGATATTATAGTAATAATTTTTATATCAAATGGAAATTTAAAAAATAGTGCATTAGATGGTGAAATATAATGAAAAATAAATAAAGATTTATGGAGATATTTGATAAAGAAAATTTTTTCTATTGTTTGAAATCATTTGCTTTTTTGGATTATGTACATGGTGTAAGACTTTTTATTTTACCTGGATTTTTACCTGTAATTGTAAGGATAATGGATTAAGCTGATTAAGCTGGACTATAATTTAATCACATACAAAGGAAATTCTAAGGATACAATTGGACAATAATAGATACTACACTTTGAATAATTGTTTAACAGTAAAACTTTGACAGCAAGGATAAGAATTGATAAAATGTCTAGTAAGGGTCAAGGATCAGGACAAGGGTCAAAGGACAACTCTACTGGTACAAAATTTAAAACATCAATGAAGGGGAACACAGGAAAAAAACCTCCAGCTAAAAGAGCAATTTCAGAAGTGAGTAATGACAGCACATTAAAGTAATGACAGCATGAATATGTCATTAATACAAAATCAGCTAGACTTAATGTCAGAAAATCTTGAAGAGCTTAAAGGAGACTTAAAAGGTATCATAAAAAAAGAAGACATAGAATCAATAATTTCAAGATCAATCACCCAATTACAGCAAAAAATGGAAATCATTATAAAAAAAGAGATTCAAGAAAAAACTAAAGAGTTAAATGACAAAATAAGTTCACTTGAGTTTGAAAATAATCATTTGAAGGAAAGTCTGACACAAACAAAGACAGAGACCGGAAAAAGGCTAAGCACAATAGAAGAAAGAATATCTCAAAATGAAAAAGCTGTCAAAGATGCCAACAAAAAAGCAATCATAATGAAACAGTACTCCAGAAAAAAATAATATAAAAATAATGGACATAGCTGAAGATAGAAATGAAAATATCCAAATATTGACAGATAAAGTAATAAACCTTCTGCAACAAAAAGATGTCAAACTTGAGAAAGAAGAAATAGCAGCTATCCACAGACTACCTTCAAGGAATCACAAAATAAGACCTGTCTTAATAAACACTAATCAACAATGATGCCAAGTCCAAAATAATGAGGAAAAAGGAAACCATGAAAGATGCAGGACACAAGCTGGTAGATGATGTTACAACATTAAACTCTGGTTTAATAAACCGTTTACTGTTGCACCCTTCAATAAAAAGTGCATGGTTCTTTAATGGATCTGTCTATGGACTAACTGAAATGGATGAAAGAATAAAATTTGACTTGTATGACAATATTAATGAAGTGATAAAAACTTTCAGAGAAAAGAGGACCCATGTAAAGACAACATCTACAAGATAAATGTATCATAGACAGGACAAAGAGAACAGATGAAATATATATGTAATTATAGACTAAAATATAATGATTTCTTTTTTTTTCAGTTGTTTTCAAAAAATTAATGTGTCCAGCAATTAAAGACAATTATTTAAAAAGTTAAAATGTACATATTTCTAGATTATTTTTCAATAAATTCTTATGTTGATATAAGCAAAAATGGCTACATTTAAGTAGCTTTTTAATATATTTATTTCTTAACTAAGTGATTTTCTAAGCAGGTGATAGTTAATTCTTAATAACATGCTATACCTATGTACATGTAAATTATTTAGTTATTTATAGAGTATTGGAAAATTGTATTATCATATAAGGCCATTTCATGCTATAAATGATAAATCCTATTTGCCAAGTAATGCTTAAAATAGATCTGTGGATTGAAGACCTTGACAATTTATAAATTCTTGTATAATATACATTATACGTATAAAAAAATTTCTATATTTTTAAATACAATAATTGTTATTTTGATCTGGCAATAGGTATATTTATTAAATAAATGGTCTATATCTTAAATAAAGTACTTGTTATTTTGAACTGGTAATTATATATTCATAAAACTTGTGAGTGAAATATGGATGAAATAAACACTTACTTTTATTTTCATCTTTTCTCAATAGAAATCTTATTTTATTCATTATCATATGCTATTTATGTGTATTTATGTATCACTTTTTAATGATAATGTTAAAGAATTCCAATTTCTCTATCTACAAAAAAACTTGTCCAGTAAGTATTTAGTTTTGCTGCTGGTTAACATCTATCTCTCGCCTTTATCGGGAGGGAGTTTTACTTTCAGTGGGATGGTTAGACTCACTGGGTAAAATATGGTATACAATATCCTGTGAGGTTGCCAGTAGTAATTCTATTACTGCTATGATAGAGAAATATTGACTTATTACTTATAACATTAATTTTTGTCTAATATTTACTCTAAGTTTCATATTACACTTTATGTTACCAATGATCACATGATGTGTTATAATTGTTTTATTTATCTATTTGCATAACAAAGTCTAAATAAAACATATTTT